AAATGTCATTATAGGCGTCCTCTCATTTTATGCGTTCCAATCTTTATTCAATATTTCATGTGAAACATGTATGGTGTTCATGAGTTGGAAAGGGTAGCCATTGCATATCCCCAAACTTCCCCACATTGTAAAGAGTAGTTCACGGAAACAATACGACCTATATGGATAATTTTCACGTGCGTTTCGGTCGCACTCAAAACGAAATGATAAAGATTCTAGAAGCTGAGTTCACACGAAAGTTAATCACCCCCTAGCAGCTCCAGGATTGCTAATCTGATTGCATACAGTGAGAATCCTGGTGGAGTTGGATCAATCTACGTAGAATGATAGTTTCGTTGGGAACGCACCCTTAGATTCCGTTTGTAATTATAATTCTTAAAATCGAAGAACATCTTAAAATGTTTCGGACTATCGAACCTTCGGACTAATGAACCTTCGGACTATCGAACCTTCGGACTATCGAACCTTCGGACTAATGAACCTTCGGACCAATGGACCTTTAATTTTCGGACTAATGAACCTTCGGACCAATGAACCTTTTTGTTAAAAATCTGATGAAAAATTTACGAATTTTCGGACCAATGAACCTTCGGACCAATGAACCTTCGGACTATCGAGACGCCCCCCATTAGCACAACACCGGTACAGTCAGAGACCGATTTTCGTGCTTTACCTCACATCGCGTCAAATAAATCATTATAATAATATCATGATAGTGACGCGTTTGGTCATCTACTACATTTAGGAAAATTGCTTTAGTATTTTAACGAATTTAGTAAAAATACGCAAAAGCTCCTACATGTAACTGTCACTTGTGTTACCAGTTAAAATTACAAATAAAATAGAAACAGCCGAGCCACGGCCGGTCACCAAACCAAGTCCACCTACCCAAACATACCAGGCTTCATTGTCCTAACTCGTTTCTAAATATTGGTACCCAGTTGCAGATTGAGAGAGAGAGAGAGAGAGAGAGAGAGGGGAGGGGGGGGTCGGCTTCACATCCGCGGGCCCCCCTTCAAATAATCCTGGATTCGCCCCTGGTATCCCTGATGTGGGATACATTTGGCGATTTTATCAAAATTCTTTATGACCACTAAACCAATTTTGATTTTTTTTCAAAATGATGGACTAGTTTGCTGCTTTAATATCGATTTATGGTTTTAAGATTCTTTAGATGGAGGTACCTGATAGATGAGCGAGATCACCTTGTAAACCCAGACAAAACGAGACCCAGATTATAATACCTCACTTAAAATATGGAAAAAATTAAAGGTTCAAAGCCAGCTTTATTTCAATCCATTAAAAAATTGCCACATGCATTTAAGTATCACAAAAATGTTTCATCTAGTTAAAATTAATCAAACATGTCAAATTGAGATGACTGAGCGTGCACTCTTTATTGTAGCTGTTTGAAACGTGGAAATACAAAATAACCATTTTTAAAAAGGTTAGACACACGCACATTTTAGAAATATTATCAACATTTACCCTTGAACGATCAGTTCTTTACTCCTTCCTTTATGGAGGGCACAAATTTGTATCCTCGACCCCCCTTCCTCAAAAAAATTTACAAAGGGATCATTCAGATTTTCTTCATTAAACATACCTTAATGCACTACTATCCAAATTCCATGAGCACGATCTATTGTCTCATTTATGCAATTTTTCAAATGACTTTTTCCACCTCTGTGCCCCCCTCTTTAGTTATATCTTATTTTCACTAATGTCTGAAAAAATAACTGACCAACAATAGGTTCATTTTTCCCTTTTATTTTATGACCCTCATTATTACACCAAGAAAGCCCATAACTCTCAATGAACAATGAAATAATATCAATGAATACACCTTACAACAAAATGACTGTGCATGTACAATAGTCATACATTTCAGTTAAAACATCATAGATAAGGCGAACCATAAAATCTGGTTTTATTCGTGAAAATCTTAGCAAATGGCATTTAATTTTGACAGGATTCAGTGCTTCTTATTTAAGACCTAAAACCTGTTGTAAAGCTAATTGCAGCATTAAGTCAATTTTTGAAAAATATTAGCAATGTAAGTACATTTTAAAACCTTCGATGACTCTTGAATATCATACATGTTTACTACAAAAAAAAATTTAAAGAAAAAAAGAGGAAATAAGAGTAAATTCATTAACTGTACCCCAAATAAGATGTATCGGGTAAAAACAAAAAGCTCAAATATATCAAGGGACTTTATTCAAAAGATAACTACTCATTTCTCAGCAAATAAAGGCTGTGAGCAATATATGGTGACATGAGGTGCAAATGACTTCTCATACCTAACTGACCTGTATCTCTCATTGCTCAATAAAATTTTTTTGTATTAAAAGTTATCCTTTGAAAAGATTCTGGAAAATATTTTGAAGACTACATTTTGTGGAAGACCAATTAATGAACTTTCTATGGGTTGATTACTCAAATAATCCAATCACCTTTAAACTAAGTCTTCTCTGTTTAAATAAATGGTGAAAGAGGAAATGATGATGCGTAAAATAAACTAAACATAACAAGTTTAGAATATCATGTGTAAAGAAGATCAGCATGTAGGTGTTAACTAAATGTAAAGGGTTCAAAACTGTTGATATGAAATGTATGACAAAACAAAAATATTTATCTCCATAAGATAATCGACATTTATACTAATCGACATCTACATCAAGTGGTTTTTCATATCTTCTTAAATATTAATAATAAACAGTACAGCAATGGATATTATGTCTATTATACGAACTTGCACCAAAACCTTTGGTCCTGCCTACTGTACAGTTTGACTGCTACATCCAAAGCAACATTACCACATGTGTTGTACATATCCTGTACAGACACAAATTACAAAGTACCATAACAGACCCACTTCAGCATAATTATGATATAAAAACACCTAAGTTTATTACAATTATCACTGCCAAATCACAGAAAGCATAACAAAAGAAAATCGCTCCCTCCTATGTTTCAAATTGGCAATTTCTCAAGTTGCTTATTGATTCTTGGATTAAAATCTTGATCACTTTGAAAAAAATTGGTAACAACAAAAAAAAATGTGTACCTCTACAGTCAATCTATTTGACTATATAACCCTAATTTTGAGGTAAAAATGCAATAATTTCATTTGTGATTTGATAAGTGACACATAATGTTAAGTTAAAAACAAATTAGCTAATGCTCTTTCACTCTTTTTTAATAATCCATGTACAATGATATAAGTAGTCAAAATAAATAAATAATAGAACAATATACAGTCAAAAGGCTGACACAGATTAAATTTCTTGAAAATGCTGATGCACATAAATGAATTCTAGTAACCTTTGAGCTATTAGAAGTCCCCTTATCAATATATAACCTCTATCAAAACTTTGCCAATATGATACCTTAAAGACCTTGATAACTCGGGATACAAACAACCATTTTAATTTCAAATACCAAATTGCAAAAGACTAAACCTAAGCCACAAGACTCAACAACGGCAAGCTCGATGGCATTTTAATTCTATCAAGACTGAGACTCTGGTACAATATCAATTTTAATTCTATCTAGACTGAGACTCTGGTATAATTTGATTTATCTCTGCTGCTTTAGCTTGAAGTGATCCTACATCCAAGTATTCTAGAGATACCCTTTTTGGTGATCCTGGTGGCTTGGGCTGAGATTTCAAATATGACATTGGTTTAGTTCTTTTCGCAGTTTCTAATATATCAAAATTTTTATCACTTGATGATGTGTTTCCTTTCTTCAAATCATTCTGATCTATTTCTAATGTGTTTTCAGTTATGTTTCCCTTCATTTGATTTGTATTCATTGCAGTTTGTTCTTTTTTTTCACTGTCAACTGATTCTTTTTCCTCCTTGTCCTCTTCTCCATCTCCCTCCTCTTCTTCTTGAATGACAGAGTCCATATTTATTTTCAAATTTCTGTTCTTGGGCTTCAAATTTGTTTTTGCACTGTAAAAAGAACATAAATCAAAATCAAATAAATTACAGATGGACATAAACTGACTTTAATCTTGATTGAAAATCAGATTTAAGAATTTGAAATAAATTTGCCTGTAAAAAGGTAGGGCAAGTACAATGTGGGAAATTTATGTGACATATTTAAGAATTGATAAAGATTAAATCACATAATTTCAACAGCTAAGGAAAATCAGGAAAACAAGTGATGTTTCAAGTTATTGGAGTGTCAAACTTTTCATTCAACATAATGTATTACTCATTGTGAAACTAAGTAATCATAAATTGAAGTCTTTTCTCCATATATCAAGACTCTTATATATGTTATGTTTTTTCATCTTATGCTTATAGCCCAAACTTCAATAGTAATTCCCCTTTTCTTGTCAGTTCACAACAAACACTAACCAAAGACTATTTCAGTAATGTCTCAAATCATATATATATATATACTGCATATTTCTTTCCACATATTTATTTATGCACAAAAATATTACCACAACTTTTTGTCACTGGGTACATGCACAGATACAATGTAGCTGACAACAATGAACAGGGTAAAAAATTAATAAAGCTCATTGCATTATTATAATTGCTAGGAGATTTTTTCTGTTTTTAAGTTTATTAGAAATCAACAAATATCAACAAAAAGACTTTAAAATAAATATTCTAAACTATGATAAAGAATCAATACATCAATTTCAAAAAAGGAAAGATCAAATATCAATTTACAAGCTGTATAAAAGGATGATAAAACTTGCATATAAAAAAAGGAAGACTGTTAATTAACATAAAATTGGCAGCAGTTCAACAGTCAGGTTTTGTTTAAAATTAATAAAAGAAGACAAAATTGTCATGAGACCTCAAATAACAGAACAACAATAGCAGGACAGAAAACAACAAGCCATGCTGTAGAGGGTCATAAAGAGAGTCAGGTGACAACAGCCAATGACGACTGCAGGTATTTCATACCTGTCACATATATAACACCTAGTACTGCTTTACCTGAACATAGCGACCTAATTTAGAACGTGGTGCAGCTATGCTAGAATATACTGAGCAGAGAAGAAAGATAGACTAGTGAGTGAGCAGTTCAAGTGCTGTATTCCTCTTTGCGACAATAACAAACAGCGCAATCAGATTTAAATTGTCATTGTTTCTGTCATTTGTGTCTAATCCATTGATTTACCAACTGAGATTTTAGTTTCAGACTTATAATTTTTCTTTAGGAATTTTTTTTCTCGAGCAATGCTCAAAATCACTAACACAACCTCTTTCTATAACTTAATTATTAGAAAACTGCATTTGTTGGTTAGTTAGAACAGGTATCAATTTAGTACACTATAAAATTTTTGAGCTTCCAATATTAGAATAAGATATCTGCAAAGATGCAAAATTCATTATTAAATTATTATTGTGAAGTTCACATCTTAAGCAGATATGGACAAATAAACCATCTGATTGTGCAGTTTTTTTAGTTTTCACACTCAGTTATAAACTGAAACAAATTGTACACAAAAACAATTTGCTTAAAAAGCTATCCTGATGATACTGCTATAATATGCATGTGTGCTTTTTGTTATCTGGTGGTATGAGCCACTTCAATACACTACTGAAACTATGTGTTTTGTTCAGCAGTCCTTTTGTACCTTTGACGTGGAGGAAGAGGAGTGAATATTTTTCAAAAGTACATTGAGATCATATTCTCAAATTAAAAAACAAGATAAAAATGTATAAAATTTTTGAGATGGCAAATACTAAAATGTATATCACGGGTAGATATGGACCCTTTTCAAGACCAAATTGTTTATCCATCATTCCCTTCCGAAAAGTTTGAAAAGACACAATCTGAACCACAGAACCATATTTCATTTACTAAAATTATAATAAGGGGTTGGTGATTGGGTCAGAAAGAGAGAGAAAGCTGGAAACTTTTGCCCCTCATCCATTTTGATATCAGAGATCTACCTATGTGTAGGACAGTGGTCATACACAAAAGAACTGTTGCTGAAGATGCAGTGCTAGCTTGATGCTGTGCAAACAGATGTTTGTTAAGCTGTAAGATGGTGCTTGTCTACAAGTGAAATATAACTGTGCAAATTTACTTTTAACATGCCACATTATATACATCCTACTAATGTATCAAATTTTAAAGAAATCCAAAGTCTGAAAGGTGTACATTTTCAACTTTTAAAATACATTTCTGATCAGATATGAAACAAATTTATGATTAATTTTCTCTGCAATGAACTACATGGATTAAGCTTATGTCATATGTCCTACCTTGAGTTCATATCCAGACTTAATGTTGATCCATTATCGTCACTGTGGGCAAAGTGTGCAGGAGAACCATTAGCCATTAGAGGCTGGTTGCTGTGGGTGCTGCTAACACTGGCTACTTCTGGGTCATACATTCTGTACCTGAGGGTAAACCAAGCCACTTTCTCATACATATCAAAAAGAGAATTAATGTTGTACATCTTCTATTTCAAGGCTGATTCAAATAAAACTGTTTTTCACTGACACTGTCTACTTTCGTTCTTGGAATCCAACTATTCTCTTACCAAAAATATCAATGATTTATTTAATGTGAACAAAATAATTTATTGTTTTAAAAGGTGTGTAAGACAATTTAGGAAACAGTATCATTTCTAAGGACATAGGTTGATTCAAACTGTTTTTTCACCTCAGATATTAGAATTTAACTATTCTCTTACCAAAAATATCAATGATTTATTTGATGTAAACCAAATAATTTATTTGTTTTAAAGGTGTGTAAGACTATTTGGGAAACCAGTATAATTTCTAAGCACATAGGTTGATTCAAACTGTTTTTACACTTCAGTTATGAGAATTTAACTATTCTCTTACCAAAAATATCAATGATTTATATGAAAAATAATTTAAGAAATAATTTATTTGTTTTAAAAGTGTGAAAGACTATTTGGGAAACCAGTTTCATTTCTAAGGACATTAAATCCTTTATGTTTACATATTTTAGGGCTAAATTAGAATACATATTCTTGCTTATATATAAAATATAGTGGCAGCAGCACACAACCTTATACTGGTACATAATGGTAAATGTGTTATTGCCTAGATTTGAATACCTGAACCCATTGTCATCTTCATACTCATTGTTCTCATCATCACTGTCTTCATCTGGAGCAACAAAGACAACCTCCAGCTCTATATCACCTTGCTGAAAATTTAATATGAAGGGGTAATGTGGAAATTGGTCAAGAGCAGAAACACTGTACAGGGTATAATATACAGTACAATAGCAGTATGTTTCATTTCCTGTGCAGTGGAGTGTTCAAAAACTGGTTAATGCTACTGGTGTCAAAACTACTCTCAACTTTTATTGTACTGTTGCCTTATGTAAATTCTCATGAATATGCTAAATGGTTGCTCTTCTTTTTAATAACTACCATGTTACACAGAACTGGACTCATGCTGCACACACTATTCTAACTACTGTAACATATAGTTTACAATAGCACTTTTGGTTTGGCCAAATTAACTCAAATTTCTAGAAAATATAAAATTCATTCTAGTCTGTGACTGACTACAAATTTTGAAGATACTGCAATGAAATTTGGGATATTTTTTGGAAAATGATGCTGGAAATTTCATGACTCTACCTTTTTTAGTTTGGGCACAGTGAAAAAATCTTAAGTCAAAAAATGCCATGCCTGCCTACATGACTTTTGATAGGTGCCAGTGTCTGGTAGTTTTGACATTATTTTGTCAATATTTTTGAATTGATGATATTATCAAAACTATTTCACTTTTAAACTTGAAAATTTCAGGGTTGACCAATAATAATAGAAATCTGTTCAAAATTTCAATTAAAAACTTTTTAACTGTTGAAGTTACTGAACTTTAAAATCAGCAAGTTGGTTTAGCTACCTGATATAGTTGATCCAGTGATTCAAAATAAAATATGAGAATGCTTTGCTTTCTTTATTACCTGTTGGGACAGAATCTCAACTGCCTCTGCATGCTTAGCATCCTTGAGGTCAATTCCATTTACAGACAGTATAGCATCTCCCACATAGAGGGCAGCACATCTTTCTGCTGGCTGGCCTTCATGTATCTCTGATATTAGTACAGGTACGCCATGTTCTTTCCCACCCTTATGAAAAATATATGAGTCCTTCATTATATCTTTATGAATGCAGATGGATACATGTGCAATATGATTACAGAAAATTTCAGCACATTTTACACAAAAACCAATCATTCAATAAAGTTAAACCATCATATAAATTTAATATTAATGTAGAGTTGATTAATGGCTGGTTCTGTATGTGGATCCTTTACAGGCAGCAGTAATTAAAATTTCATGTGCAAAGTTCTTCCACTGTGCTGATGTACTTTTTCAATGTTGTACAAATACTCCAAGCAATTCCCCATTCTGCATGGTATATAAATATATGCTAGAACAATGCATACTAAGCTCTAGACTTATCAAAAAATTAATTTTGAACTAACCACAGTATATAATAGCTATTGTTTTCTTACTTACAGTAATGGACATTCCAAGCCCTTCTTCATTTCCCTTATGCACTGTAATTGTTCGAACATCACCAATACCTTGACGTTTCCTTAATGAACTGAAGTCCTAGTAAGACAAAAGGTTGAAATTGCTCCATAATAGTGTTATTTCACGTGATTGATCTCTGTATTGCACCAATAATCATCTTTAGTGCGTACGACATGGGACTTAAAAGCATTCAGTAGATGAATGAAGACAGGATGAAAGGGAGAAAAATCAGTAGCGTGTAAACACATGTGGATGAAAAATTGTAATTAGGCATTCAGGTCTCTACGAGTAATGTGCAAATTGAAATTTTTATCAGTGACTTAACATTGTGTAAATAAATTAAAGACAGTGATGCCCATCAGCTTAATAAAAGATTTGGGTTTACACAGTGGGGTGCTCGATGTCCAGAGAAGGGAACAAAGCTTACTGAAGTATTATCGTGATATGTTATTAAATTGGCCGTGTCGTTACACCGATTCCTGTACCCTAAACAGTAATAAACTTTGCCATTTTTATCCAACAACTGCATTACACTGATAAACAAACATGCCTTATGACACATATTTAAGTCCAATAATTGATGTGCCATAAAACAATTTTAGCTTCAACCTGAAATCTAAAATTCTGATATAAGGAATGGATTTATTCAGAATATCATTTGATTAGCCATTAGCATAATTATCATTATCTGCAAAACATCAAATTTGTATACCATCCACAATTAAGAAGGGACTTTGACAAAAATTAAAAAATAAGAATAATAAATAAACAGTTATATGAAAATACATCAGCTGAATTACATCAGTTTAAAATGTACATAATACAAGAAATGAAAATGTTTATTGAACATCAAGCTTCTCGATATGAAGTACTTTTGATATTCCATAATATAAGGTTCACTTTCTAACAGGGTAGCACAGGTAGCTAGCAAAGACATTAAAACCCACTGTGCATGTGCATAGTGTAATTCTATATACAGCTACTGCCGGTGACAACATTCAATTTCTACAAAACATGCAGTTTTACTTTTATAAAATGTGATTCAGGATATAAATATGCAAGTTAAAAGAAACAGTGTGGTAAGAAGAACATGTGTACTGGATATGTAAGCATATTAATGATTTTGGTAAAAATATCTGTATTGGCAAATACATTTCCTAGTGCATAGATATTTTTTTCATTTTGTAAAGCAAAATGTTAGTACAAAGCAAATGATCAAAAGAAGTAAAACAAAGATCTCTATACAAGATTTTTTACAATTGCTACTTAAATTCTTTCCACTTATTACAAACAATTGATTGCAGCATGATGTTGCTCAAGTTTGGTTGTAGTGAATAATGTAATTCTCTGGTTTTGTCCTCAAAATATTTGGGTTTGTTTTCATCTTAGTTAAAAAAAGAATGCTTCGATAAGGCACATATACAAATCCAATAGAAATTAGTTACATATTCTGACCATACTATAGCTTGTAACAAGATCATCATTGGTTTCTACACATATCACACACACTATACCACTAAAGACCAGAGACCTAAAGAATGGCAAACATTTTACTTACAGACAAAATTCTCATAATTTTCTCATGGGTCTGAAATCAAAATCTACCTTTATTCATCACCACCAAATACCATGATAGTACAGGTACAAAGCGACTCGACATAAAAATCCACATATAGTTAAATCAAGTACTTAGCTTGCACATTAATAACATATGATAACATGACAATGTAATGCTTTAGGGAGTGATAAAGAATCAAAATTTTAATTGTTATTTTATATTCTTTAATTCCACCATCTATATTTAAGTTTTATAGGCAACAATCTGATTTAGCTGAAGTTTGAGAGAACAATCATGTGGAAAAATATCAGCTTTAAACGAAATGTGTGTTGTCATACACTGGCTTATGTTGGAGCGACTTTGGCACAAAATAAATCAAATTTATAAGAGAAAGCAAGAAAGAAGTAAGAATACCTCATCCAGAGTCAACTACACTAAGCTCCACCAAAGCAAATACTCACTCTTTATATTGATCTCTTTGACTTTGCTATTGACTTGCTATGGTATTTCATTATCTTTTTCTAAAATCCATGTTTTTGTGCTGAGGAGAGGCATTTGATGAAAAGTTGGCATGGATGAAAATGGATGAAAAGTTGGTGATTTCGAATGTGCTTTTAAACCAGAAAATACTATTACAATTATTTACTCAGGGTCTGGACAGAACAAGGATTTTACATTTCCAATGATGTTCATTTGCCAATGTGAACTCTTAAATCAGATTGCTTGCCATTAAGAAAGTGTCCTAATTTTTTTCATTTTGTAATAAGTAAGTGAGTAAAAGGGGAATTAAGTGCATGACAATGCGTGCATTGGAACAACTCATGCATTAAATCAGCCCTATGAAAGAAATGATTTTTTTATAAAACCTCCAGTCCAAATGAATAGAATTATTTCACTCTTTCAAACATAAATCAAAATATATTCTAAATAAGAAACAGTTATTTCTTAATACAAAAAGTGACAAAAGAAATGATGAAAGTGAGCTGGTTGCCTTCATGATTTCCATGTATGAAAAATGCCTATGAAAATAAAATAAGGTGATGAGCGAGGGAGAACCTAGTTTATATAATGTATATTTTCCTAAGTCAATGCCAAAAATAATTTTGGGACTGTAAAGGTGACTATAAAGGTGTCTAACATAACATGGAAAATGTGAAAATTTTTAGAAAAATTTACTGTGAAATACAGGCTTCAAGAATCCAATCATATCACTAACCAAGAAATTAAAACTCAAAAACTCCCAGGTGTAACATATAGTGTCAAATTATTAATGAGAGTAAATAAGATTTTTCAAAACTTTAACAAAATTGGGTTCATTATGAAGGTCATAAACAGAACAGTCATTTGAAAATATAAAGGATGAATGAAACCTGAAAATAAAAGTAAATTATTGCACAAAAAGCCTTACATGTCCCGGAGGAATGGGCAACTTCTTCTTGTTGATGTTGTTGTTTCTCCCCCTACATGCCCTGATAACAGTCTTGTGTCTGTGAAGATGTATCTCTGCCTCCAGCTGGTTCCACAATTTGTCATGTTCTGGTCCTCGCATGTCTCTGCCCAACAGCTGAATCTGCTGTATTCTGGAATAGCAGTCAAACATTATACAGTCTGGTGTGGCATTCTTTAGCTGATGTATAAAGGGTGGCATGGCAAACCTGGCAGCCTTTATACTTAAGCCTTCATTTGCCATGGGTGCTGTATGATAAAATCCTATATGACTTTTCATGGGATCATCGTCAGTGGCTATAGCATTTGCGTTGCATGTTGGTGCAGTGCCACTTCTCCAAGGTGACTTTGAGGCAAGGTAGGAAAAAACATTCTTAGTTTAAAAGTGATCATACCAAGCCCTTTCAGTCTCAGTGCAATTGGCATACACCTTACATGCAGCTTCTTTGATGATTGACACACAGTCAGTGCAGTCCCCTATGATTTTTAGCAGCCACATGGTCAGAATAAGGATATACACAACTTCATAATCATGCAAATGAATTACACTAAGCTTCAAACATCTTCACTTTTGTTATACCTCCTACAACCACCAAGGGTGGAAGAGAAAGAAACCAACAACAGGTTCAACCATTATCACAATCACCGCAAATCCAGTAACACTATCTGCAATGCAATCTACCACTTTGCTACGGCCTACAGGCTTACGGTTTAAAAAATTTTGTCAAAACTTTAAGCTTGACAAAATTGTTGAGGCTACAGAGGCTACTCGAGTTTGTTCTATTTTTTTATTATTAAAATGGGTTTGTCATATTATTTAAATTGGTTTAAATCAAGGAGACATCACGCAGCAAATGTAACCTTGGCTTAAGCTCATAAGCAAAACTTATTTTTCAATATAAACCTTAGCTAAAATGTGGCAATATCTACATTTAACTCCATACAAAACACACTTGCAAACACTCACGCAAATACACACACATGTATGCAAACATACATGTAAACATGAACACAGACAATAATACTAATTCATGAAAACATTTGATTACTGGGTATTTTGCCCAAAGACCCTTTTTCAGACCTAATATTGCCAGAATGAACTATTGACACTTACTGTATAAGAAGAAAAGGTCACCTCTGCAAATTGCTTCCTCAAACATGATTTATTGTAGAAACATTTTAAAGAGAAAATGATTATCCCCTAGCCTCCCAAGGCTTTGGAGAATCTTCTGATTTTCATTCATTTCTTTCATTCTCTCAACGTATCATGGGTCATGCTGAGGGGATTTAGCCAAGGACATAATCACCCAATCTATGAAGATAATATTGCCTGGAGAACTGACTAATGTTTGTATAAAGCTATTCTAGGAAATGATTAGTGGAGAAACCTGTAGATTTCAAGACAAAATAGTGAAAATATTAAAGGCACAGGTTATTATTGTAAAAATGCATACAGTTTCCCTACATGGGATAAAATCACAAAAGGATATATAACTTACTTTTTATCAAACAAATGAGTCAGATACCATTAAATGACAATCTTACCACGGCAAATTAAGACTGCCTCGCATGCATGTACAACTAGAGCAATTTGATGTGAAACTTTATTGTAGACAAATGCACCAATGAAGAGTCCTACTCTGCTTACACTCTATAAGTATCCAGGAATTTGTTTCTGATATCAAAACCTACATTCACATATTTATTAATTTTTCATGAATATGGAACCAGGCAAAAAACATCCAGTGACTAGTAAATGTAATGAGCAATATGAAGAAAAACAAATCTAAGAAACTCTACCTTCCAGCCAGCTCTTTATCCAGGTATTTAGCTGCTAGTCTGGCACCATAAACCTCACCCTGCATGGCAAGGATGTACTGCTTCAGTTCTTCATTTTCTTTCTTCATCTGTTTAAGTTCTGCTTCCAGTTGGGCTTCCATTACACCTTCCTGTTGTCTGGCCCCCATTTCATCTTCCTGCACAAATTAAAGGCAGGTCTTTTGTCATAAAAAATTCATTTTAAGCAACTTAACAATTCCATGGTGTTCAATTATCTACCTTACTTTTAAAGCTGAAAATATAGGTTGCCTTGTTTAAATTTTTTGTTATATATATAAATAAAGACTTCAAGAAAAACATTTTTACAGGTTATTTCATATTTTCTTAGTGACAAACAGTTTCTTTTAATACCTGTCAATTATTTGTAATGCATCCGGGATTCCCTACTACATACAAGCTTTATTACCTTACCACCTGGATACATTTTAGCCTATTTTATCCTTTTTTAACTGGGAAAAGATCACAGCTGGTTTCAGAACTCATTACCAATTCAAGATAAAGATACAAAACTTATGGTGGTCGTTAGAGAACAAGTGTCAAAAAATTAAAGCTTATATTTATTCCCACATTTATAAGAAATACTTCCACTTGTCACTGTAGATTATGTATATAAGGTAATTATGAAACATATAATTACATTTGTGTTTGAAAGCCTGATATCACATAAGTGGGATAATAAGTCTTGATATATATTACATGTATGTATAACACAAGTAGTTTAGAGGGCCTGCAAAATGTACTGAAACATTTTAGTGCTCAATAAATTATTATTATTATTATTATTATTATTATATTTTTGATAAAACCTGTTGTAAAAAGTTATGACCTGCAGCAGACAGAAAATCACAGAAGGAAAAAAAACTCTGCTGATAAAATGCTGAAAAAGTGATAATCCTTTTCAATAATAACACAATGCTTTAAGAACTGTGCTGATAGCTACTCTGATAACTTAGAAATTCTTTAAATAGGAAATTACATTTTTACCCCAGAAATGCCACTATTTCAACAGCAAGATACACAAAGGCTTCGTTCACATGCAATGTCTATTTTCTATTTTCTATTTTCTATTTGCGGTATGTCTTATGATCACGGTCTGTGGCCTGAATATCCCGCGGCGTAATTACTGGCAGCGCGAGCCAGTTACTATAAGTTACTATAAGTAACTGGCTCGCGCTGCCAGTAATTACGCGGCGGGATATTCAGGCCACAGACCGTGATCATAAGATAGCGCAAATAGAAAATAGAAATTAGAAAATAGACATTGCATGTGAACGAAGCCAAAGTGTAACAATGTTTTCAGTCAAATAACATTTATAGATACCAGTTTTCAACAATCACATTTCCTTAATCAGTGGCACATAGTGACAGCAGTCTTGTGCTGTATTTCAAACAGATATTAATTTTAAAAATCACTTCATATTCATGAACTCACTAATTTTTTCTTGATCGCCTCAGAATCAAACTCATGCCCAGCTTGCTTGTGTAGCTGTAGTTGTGCAGCATGGAGCTGTAGCAAGGTGTTGTGTACTTCACGTTCCATGATACTCCTAGATGCACGTACTTCACACATTTCCGATCTCATGTCTAATAGCTGGGCCTATAGAAATGATAAGGATATCACCATCAGGGGCAGATACAGAGATATAATCTGACAATATTCTAAATTATTTTTGTTGACCTACCCTCTGTTTTTGACCGTCTTCTGACAGAAAAAATTAGATACCCATCAATGTAAAGTTGAAAGACTCGGAAGACCCAGAAGATGGCCACAATCTGCCCCTGATCATGTCTGTTAAAGAATATAAAGCACAAATAAAATCAAAACTTACCACAACAAGCAATTGCAATGTGTGTGCAAAACTATTTAATTACAACATCACATCACGTGTAAACCACTATATCATATTCTTCAAATTAGGTGTTCATCTCACTGGATTGTATTACTATTATAATATTCTAAAAGGACACTGTTCTTGCTTTTGTTAGTTTTGTATGAGATTTTATAGTTCAATTTTTTTGCATCACACAGCTCCAAAGACAATTCTAACATAAATGGTTGACGACGTTACTTTTCTAACTTTTGAAAGTTTTTACTGATCTGAAAAAATTAACCTATTTTGTAATTTCATAGCTTCAGTTTTATCACTGCTTTGACTCAATTCAAAAGCAATGCTCTCTTTTTCTAAGAGAAAATATTTTTCCTTTTATATCAAAGACCATCTTTCATAGTTCATATTATTAATATAAGCTATGGTATCAGAATAATTTTTCTATTAGGGTTTATAACTGAGTTATCCTTAATACAGAGAACTTACTGGCAACCCAGCTCACCAGCTGGCAAACAAAGTTTCCCCGAGAGAGACAAATAAGCCAGCTGATGACTGATTACAACTTTGTATGATCTGTTTTTTCCAAAGAACAGAGACCTATCTTTTCCTGGTCCAGGATCACAAGCTACAGTTTTTTTTGCCTTTCAAAGTATCTAATTTGGCTTCTAGGGTAGAAAATTTGATCCTACGAATAAGACCAATTAGCTGAAAATAAATAAATAAATAAAATTTAAAATAGAAAAGAAAAAGCGGTTCATTTGCCCAAACTAAAATTAAATACTAGTATTTCATACCAATGATGGTAAATATTTAATATGCAAGGATAATACCAATGAGCAGAGAATATGGATCACATTTGCATTGCATCTTGGTTGCAAAAATGAATGATAATTGCATGAAAACCATAATTTCTTCAGAGATTTTGGTCCTTATTCATGAACAAAATCTTAAGTCAAAATTCAGTCTCAGCTAAACTTACAAAGGATATAAGCTTTCCATCAATCTAAGTTGCTTTGTGATATACAAAAATGTAACTTGAGCAAAAAGAAAAAAAGGGCATTGACTAAACTATCTGCTTCAACAGTGAAATTGACTTGGCATAAACGTAATCATTTTCCAATAATCAAGAGTGTTTAGTGTACCCACGAGGCAATATTGATTTCTGTGAAAAAAGATTAGTCGTGATAAATCGACCACAATACACAAATTACAAATGGCACCACTCCATGAAATGGCTAAAGGGAAAGATTGGACACTATATTCCTTGCAGAATAGACAAAACACATGGCGGTCATTTTTGACCTGTAATTCAATTTTGAAAGATGATTCACATATACATATTATATATAAATACATAAATTAAGTCTTTCAGTGTTCGTGAAAGTGCCATATTCAGTTTAGTCCAAGTATTAGCATAACATCTGTTATTAATAACATTCACTTTATGGCAGACGCATTTATTGCTTAATTACAATTAACACATCAATATTTAAAAATGAGAATAACTGAGAAAGACCAACATCTGTAATACCATTGAGTGACAGCCGTTTTTTTTTTTTTTTAATTCTTCCCAAAACTCATTATAAAATGCCAAAGTTACATTAAGATATGTAACATTTTTCTTGTGTTATTCAGTCTTCATGAGCAGCACAGTCAAAAAAATGCCTGCCAATTCAACCACACTGCAACAAAATCACTCTGTGATGAGTTCAGATGTGAAAGAAAATCGATATACTGAAGACAGTTTAAGCCTGAAAAAGTCATTAAAACTCTATAGCTATTCTCTGAAGACATCGGCCTATGTCTGATGAATGCATGTCAGCAAGTATGCTCATCTGACATGTTATGGAAAAATACCCTAGTTTTCAGGTGAAATTTGACATGGGTACAATAATCATTCCTTAATTTCTTCTGAATAAAAGTATAACCTGTGTTTAAGCATAGAAGCGTTCTCTACTTCTATGGTTTAAAGCACCATTATTTCACTGAATATTTTTAATTATCAAAATTGTAGAATACATAAAATTTAAAAAATAAACACCTAATACTAATAGCTAATCTGTTGCTACCTGGAAACCATAATTTTCACCTTTATATTATCTTAATCTGCCTTTTGTTCATATATTTTAATAAGTAGATGTAAACTAAACAGACAGAAGAGGTTGTTTTTTTTCCATTCCTGAAATATTTGAAATCCATTTCCAAAGAGCTCTCCAAATATTACAAGACAAGATACAAATGAACCCAAATTTGACAATCAGTTGAAACTTTCAACCCCACCAAAAACAATAATGATATTCATTTGGTTAAATGACCAACAAGTTGAATTACAGATAACAATCATATTCAAGGAGAAACATGACAAATAACCATAAGATCATACAGACAATCACTTTATATATATATATATATATAAAGCATTGCTGGAAAATGATTTGTATAAAATCATACAAAAAAATCAACCACTGTTCACCCTATACACCCCTGAGCCTAAACTTTAGACAACTGATCATTCATGTCTCCTTTATGCTTGTACTATTTACTCCTTTATTTTCAAGGTGTATAGCTGTTTTTAACAGTACTCATGCCAATTAAATTTTTATATACCAGTAAAAAAAAACTTGGCTTTCAATCAGCAGTGTATGCCTCATGAGGGTTAAAGGGAAAGGAAGTGAGAACATCTGATTCTGACTACATGCAGAAATCACAGACAATTACCATCTTGCTTTCAGCTGTAAGCATGGGAACTAGTTTTATATAAAAATATACTAGGGAAGTAGCATTACCTGGAGGCTGATAAATTATTGGGATTTAAATCTACTGTTAAAAAATTGCTGTTTTATTAAATACAGACATCACAAAGCTTCTCTCCTAATCAAAATCAAGCATAAGTGAAGTCTGGCCAGCAATTTTGATGAAATTTTAGCATTTATTGACTCAAAACGGGACAGCAAACTCATTTGGTGCCAAGTCTGGTAGTTGGGTAGGCCTGACCCTCCTCTGAAGTGTATGAATTGTGCGTGTGTGTATTTACATATATAATTTTTTTTTCAGCTACTGATATGCTTCATCTTTTTTCCCCTGGATTTCATACCTGCAGTGGTTCAAACATGCCTTGTCATTTTAAGTGAAGGAAAAACGGGTAAGCTGCATCCTATATCATGGATTAATTGTCTCAAAAAAGGGGGGGGGGGCTAAAATATCTACTGTATATTTCGACAGGTGGCTGAGGCCCTTGAGCCTGCAATACTTTCAGAGTTTCTGGGCCATCTGACTATATAACAAAATCCACAATGTTATTACATTAAACAAACACACAATGACACATGCACTACTAGCAGTAGACACAAAAGAATGGGGATTCCCAATTACCCACTGAGTGGAATCTACAAATCGGCCTTTCCCAATATGTTTTTTTCATCTTTTATAACATTCTTGGGGACTTTGAAGGCAGAAATGACAAATGTTGAAAGTTATTAGTCAAAGATATTTTCAAAATTTTNAGCAAAACTTATTTTTCAATATAAACCTTAGCTAAAATGTGGCAATATCTACATTTAACTCCATACAAAACACACTTGCAAACACTCACGCAAATACACACACATGTATGCAAACATACATGTAAACATGAACACAGACAATAATACTAATTCATGAAAACATTTGATTACTGGGTATTTTGCCCAAAGACCCTTTTTCAGACCTAATATTGCCAGAATGAACTATTGACACTTACTGTATGAGAAGAAAAGGTCACCTCTGCAAATTGCTTCCTCAAACATGATTTATTGTAGAAACATTTTAAAGAGAAAATGATTATCCCCTAGCCTCCCAAGGCTTTGGAGAATCTTCTGATTTTCATTCATTTCTTTCATTCTCTCAACGTATCATGGGTCATGCTGAGGGGATTTAGCCAAGGACATAATCACCCAATCTCTAAAGATAATATTGCACGGAGAACTGACTAATGTTTGTATAAAGATATTCTAGGAAATGATTAGTGGAGAAACCTGTAGATTTCAAGACAAAATAGTGAAAATATTAAAGGCACAGGTTGTAATTGTAAAAATGCATACAGTTTCTCTACATGGGATAAAATCACAAAAGGATAAAGGAACTTACTTTTTATCAAACAAATGAGTCAGATACCATTAAATGACAATCTTACCACGGCAAATTAAGACTGCCTGGCATGCATGTACAACTAGAGCAATTTGATGTGAAGCTTTATTGTAGACAAATGCACCAATGAAGAGTCCTACTCTGCTTACACTCTATAAGTATCCAGGAATTTGTTTCTGATATCAAAACCTACATTCACATATTTATTAATTTTTCATGAATATGGAACCAGGCAAAAAACATCTAGTGACTACTAAATGTAATGAGCAATATGAAGAAAAACAAATCTAAAAAACTCTACCTTCCAGCCAGCTCTTTATCCAGGTATTTAGCTGCTAGTCTGGCACCATAAACCTCACCCTGCATGGCAAGGATGTACTGCTTCAGTTCTTCATTTTCTTTCTTCATCTGTTTAAGTTCTGCTTCCAGTTGGGCTTCCATTACACCTTCCTGTTGTCTGGCCCCCATTTCATCTTCCTGCACAAATTAAAGGCAGGTCTTTTGTCATAAAAAATTCATTTTAAGCAACTTAACAATTCCATGGTGTTCAATTATCTACCTTACTTTTAAAGCTGAAAATATAGGTTGCCTTGTTTAAATTTTTTGTTATATATATAAATAAAGACTTCAAGAAAACCATTTTTACAGGTTATTTCATATTTTCTTAGTGACAAACAGTTTCTTTTAATACCTGTCAATTATTTGTGATGCATCCGGGATTCCCTACTACATACAAGCTTTATTACCTTACCACCTGGATACATTTTAGCCTATTTTATCCTTTTTTAACTGGGAAAAGATCACAGCTGGTTTCAGAACTCATTACCAATTCAAGATAAAGTTACAAAACTTATGGTGGTCGTTAGAGAACAAGTGTCAAAAAATTAAAGCTTATATTTTTGATAAAACCTGTTGTAAAAAGTTATGACCTGCAGCAGACAGAAAATCACAGAAGGAAAAAAACTCTGCTGATAAAATGCTGAAAAAGTGATAATCCTTTTCAATAATAACACAATGCTTTAAGAACTGTGCTGATAGCTACTCTGATAACTTAGAAATTCTTTAAATAGGAAATTACATTTTTACCCCAGAAATGCCACTATTTCAACAGCAAGATACACAAAGTGTAACAATGTTTTCAGTCAAATAACATTTATAGATACCAGTTTTCAACAATCACATTTCCTTAATCAGTGGCACATAGTGACAGCAGTCTTGTGCTGTATTTCAAACAGATGTTAATTTTAAAAATCACTTCATATTCATGAACTCACTAATTTTTTCTTGATCGCCTCAGAATCAAACTCATGCCCAGCTTGCTTGTGTAGCTGTAGTTGTGCAGCATGGAGCTGTAGCAAGGTGTTGTGTACTTCACGTTCCATGATACTCCTAGATGCACGTACTTCACACATTTCCGATCTCATGTCTAATAGCTGGGCCTATAGAAATGATAAGGATATCACCATCAGGGGCAGATACAGAGATATAATCTGACAATATTCTAAATTATTTTTGTTGACCTACCCCCTGTTTTTGACCGTCTTCTGACAGAAAAAATTAGATACCCATCAATGTAAAGTTGAAAGACTCGGAAGACCCAGAAGATGGCCACAATCTGCCCCTGATCATGTCTGTTAAAGAATATAAAGCACAAATAAAATCAGAACTTTCCACAACAAGCAATTGCAATGTGTGTGCAAAACTATTTAATTACAACATCACATCACGTGTAAACCACTATATCATATTCTTCAAATTAGGTGTTCATCTCACTGGATTGTATTACTATTATAATATGCTAAAAGGACACTGTTCTTGCTTCTGTTAGTTTTGTATGAGATTTTATAGTTTTATTTTTTTGCATCACACAGCTCCAAAGACAATTCTAACATAAATGGTTGACGGTGTTACTTTTCTAACTTTTGAAATTTTTTACTGATCTGAAAAATTTAACCTATTTTGTAATTTCATAGCTTCAGTTTTATCACTGCTTTGATTCAATTCAAAAGCAATTCTCTCTTTTTCTAAGAGAAAATATTTTTCCTTTTATATCAAAGACCACCTTTCATAGTTCATATTATTAATATAAGCTATGGTATCAGAATAATTTTTCTATTAGGGTTTATAACTGAGTTATCCTTAATACAGAGAACTTACTGGCAACCCAGCTCACCAGCTGGCAAACAAAGTTTCCCCGAGAGAGACAAATAAGCCAGCTGATGACTGATTACAACTTTGTATGATCTGTTTTTTCCAAAGAACAGAGACCTATCTTTTCCTGGTCCAGGATCACAAGCTACAGTTTTTTTTTGCCTTTCAAAGTATCTAATTTGGCTTCTAGGGTAGAAAATTTGATCCTACGAATAAGACCAATTAGCTGAAAATAAATAAATAAATAAAATTTAAAACAGAAAAGAAAAAGCGGTTCATTTGCCCAAACTAAAATTAAATACTAGTATTTCATACCAATGATGGTAAATATTTAATATGCAAGGATAATACCAATGAGCAGAGAATATGGATCACATTTGCATTGCATCTTGGTTGCAAAAATGAATGATAATTGCATGAAAACCATAATTTCTTCAGAGATTTTGGTCCTTATTCATGAACAAAATCTTAAGTCAAAATTCAGTCTCAGCTAAACTTACTAAGGATATAAGCTTTCTATCAATCTAAGTTGCTTTGTGATATACAAAAATGTAGCTTTAGCAAAAAGAAAAAAAGGGCATTGACTAAACTATCTGCTTCAACAGTGAAATTGACTTGGCATAAACGTAATCATTTTCCAATAATCAAGAGTGTTTAGTGTACCCACGAGGCAATATTGATTTCTGTGAAAAAAGATTAGTCGTGATAAATCGACCACAATACACAAATTACAAATGGCACCACTCCATGAAATGGCTAAAGGGAAAGATTGGACACTATATTCCTTGCAGAATAGACAAAACACATGGAGGTCATTTTTGACCTGTAATTCAATTTTGAAAGATGATTCACATATACATATTATATATAAATACATAAATTAAGTCTTTCAGTGTTCGTGAAAGTGCCATATTCAGTTTAGTCCAAGTATTAGCATAACATCTGTTATTAATAACATTCACTTTATGGCAGACGCATTTATTGCTTAATTACAATTAACACATCAATATTTAAAAATGAGAATAACTGAGAAAGACCAACATCTGTAACAAGTACCATTGAGTGACAGCCGTTTTTTTTTTTTAATTCTTCCCAAAACTCATTATAAAATGCCAAAGTTACATTAAGATATGTCACATTTTTCTTGTGTTATTCAGTCTTCATGAGCAGCACAGTCATAAAAATGCCTGCCAATTCAACCACACTGCAACAAAATCACTCTGTGATGAGTTCAGATGTGAAAGAAAATCGATATACTGAAGACAGTTTAAGCCTGAAAAAGTCATTAAAACTCTATAGCTATTCTCTGAAGACATCGGCCTATGTCTGATGAATGCATGTCAGCAAGTATGCTCATCTGACATGTTATGGAAAAATACCCTAGTTTTCAGGCGAAATTTGACATGGGTACAATAATCATTCCTTAATTTCTTCTGAATAAAAGTATAACCTGTGTTTAAGCATAGAAGCTTTCTCTACTTCTATGGTTTAAAGAACCATTATTTCACTGAATTTTTTTAATTATCAAAATAGTAGAATATATAAAATTTAAAAAATAAACACCTAATACTAGTAGCTAATCTGTTGCTACCTGGAAACCATAATTTTCACCTTTATATTATCTTAATCTGCCTTTTGTTCATATATTTTAATAAGTAGATGTAAACTAAACAGACAGAAGAGGTTGTTTTTTTTTCCATTCATGAAATATTTGAAATCCATTTCCAAAGAGCTCTCCAAATATTACAAGACAAGACACAAATGAACCCAAATTTGACAATCAGTTGAAACTTTCAACCCCACCAAAAACAATTCATTTGGTTAAATGACCAACAAGTTAAATTACAGATAACAATTATATTCAAGGAGAAACATGACAAATAACCATAAGATCATACAGACAATCACTTTATATATATAAAGCACTGGTGGAAAATGATTTGTATAAAATCATACAAAAAAATCAACCACTGTTCACCCTATACACCCCTGAGCCTAAACTTTAGACAACTGATCATTCATGTCTCCTTTATGCTTGTACTATTTACTCCTTTATTTTCAAAGTGTATAGCTATTTTTAACAGTACTCATGCCAATTAAATTTTTATACACCAGTAAAAAAAAACTTGGCTTTCAATCAGCAGTGTATGCCTCATGAGGGTTAAAGGGAAAGGAAGTGAGAACATCTGATTCTGACTACATGCAGAAATTACAGACAATTACCATCTTGCTTTCAGTTGTAAGCATGGGAACTAGTTTTATATAAAAATATACTAGGGAAGTAGCATTACCTGGAGGCTGATAAATTATTGGGATTTAAATCTACTGTTAAAAAAATTGCTGTTTTATTATACAGACATCACAAAGCTTCTCTCCTAATCAAAATCAAGCATAAGTGAAGTCTGGCCAGCAATTTTGATGAAATTTTAGCATTTATTGACTCAAAAGGGGACAGCAAACTCATTCGGTGCCAAGTCTGGTAGTTGGGTAGGCCTGACCCTTCTCTGAAGTGTATGAATTGTGCGTGTGTGTATACATATATAATTTTTTTTTCAGCTACTGATATGCTTCATCTTTTTTCCCCTGGATTTCATACCTGCAGTGGTTCAAACATGCCTTGTCATTTTAAGTGAAGGAAAAACGGGTAAGCTGCATCCTATCATGGATTAATTGTCTCAAAAAAGGGGGGGCTAAAATATCTACTGTAAATTTCGACAGGCGGCTGAGGCCCTTGAGCCTGCAATACTTTCAGAGTTTTTGCGCCATCTGACTATATAACAAAATCCACAATGTTATTACATTAAACAAACACACAATGACACATGCACTACTAGCAGTAGACACAAAAGAATGGGGATTCCCAATTACCCACTGAGTGGAATCTACAAATCGGCCTTTCCCAATATGTTTCTTTCATCTTTTATAACATTTTGGGGGACTTTGAAGGCAGAAATGACAAATGTTGAAAGTTATTAGTCAAAGATATTTTCAAAATTTTCATTAGCACAACAAACCTCCAATTTCGCATTGGTCTGGAAAATAGTCTGCGCCTTGTGACAGAGCTGTGCAAATGCTGCGCTGAGAGCGGTCATTTTCTGTCGACCATCAAAGGTGAGATCTGCTTGGTCAGGGTCAATATCTCCCAGTAACAGATCCAGATCTACAAAAGCTTTGTCAAACTCTTTCTCCAAAATCTCTAGCCACCGGAATGACAGCGTAGATGCCGCCATCTTTGTTATGTGTCATGCAGAGCTATTGTTTACTATTTACATTTGTGGTCATTATCAATTTTACATGTTTGTTCTCGTGCAGCATTTAGATAAAATACAAATAGCACTTAGATTATTCGAGAAAATCTAAAATTTAGCCAAGTAAAAATATTATGATGGTCTTTATTTCTAATATTTCAACGTCGAATTCTTCCGGAATTACGATTCCGAGTTCAACACAAATTGTGTTAGGAGTGATGCGAGAAATGCCACTGACTGTGTTTTCCATCTCTATTTGCAGTGCGCTTCAGCACAATCTTTTTCACTAGCTGATACCCGTCACATCAATCATTGAACCATGAAGTGGGATTTTTTTTTAAAGAAAAAATTGAGTGAGAATCGAACCCACTCCGCCGTGTTTGGCAGCCAAGGACGTTAATTTCCACGCGACAAGCCGAAGCAAATCCTGCCATCTGATGTGGTGTTATTGACAATACTACAGTAGTACCGTATATGATACCTGTCACACATGCCAAAGCTGTACGGAAATTGCTGAAGTCTAGAAAATACCTTCAAAATATACTAATATAATAATATAAAAAATATACTAATATACTAACTGTTATAATCAAATTCAAACTATGGACACCATTACCCTCTACCAGGGCCACAGAGATTGAATTTTCACAGGATATTTACAGATACTGAGTATGTCTTTAGATAAATAGACGATTCTTTTACTATCTCTGGATTTTCCCATTTTTCCCTATATAATCTGCCACCCTGGTAGAGGGTAGGTCACCATCTTCCCACTGCCCTAAGGTATTGCTAACACCTGCAAGTTGTCAACAGATCATTGTACAGTAGTTTGGGAAAAACGTGAAAAGGAGACTTTGGCTGATCTATTATAATATAGATCCTTGTTGGTAAAAACTGAGTGAGAAAAACTCTGAATTTTAATTGTAATTAAAAATACAATGAGAAAAACTGAAAACAGCTCCTGGGAAGTGGAAGATACTGGAATAAAATTGTAATTCTTGGGTTCTTTGGATATTTTTAATTCACTGAGTATAATTAACTGTAGCTAAGTGCCCCTCCCCCCCCAAAAAAAAAGGGGGAAAAAAAGAAGGAAAACGACAAAGCATGGGGCCTACAGAGCCATTTTGATGATATTTATGCGATAGGCAGAATAAAGGATTATTTTTTCCCTTTTTTCATGTCCTGAATCCAGCAATTACGTATATCCCAATAAATGTACTGGTTTAGGGTAGATCTACATTGGCCAAGTCCCTGGGAATATGTCCTGTGTATTTGTGGGTATTGATTAACTTGATAGCACCTTGCACTGTGTTACGACTAGCTCCTTTAAGTGTTGTGTACCACTATTATTGGAGGTTGGAGTGTCAGCATGGGAATAAGTAACCTTTTAAAAATGGGAGTTAATCTGCACCAGCGCAGATGGGACAATTTTTAAAAGTCACCATGAACTTGAGAATACTCGCAGTCACTTACTGTATACCTATACAAAGCTAGCATACACTTCTTATTGAATGAGATAGGCTGGTAATGGAGATCGAAAAGATCCAAGTACTGTAGATTACTAGTACTGTACAGTGGGAGATTTAGAGGGAGGTCAGGGGGGTCCTGACCCCCCACCTCCTTCGATTTCTGGTCCCCTCTTGAAATTATAATTTTGATTAGCTGAGGCATAGATTTAAACCGTACCAAATAGCACCATTCACCCTCTAAAATACCAATAATTTTAGGGGCCCTTCAGCAAGCCTTGAACCCCATGCTAAAGCTCACAAAAAGGAAAATAACACTGGAAAACTTGGAGAAGAAATATTAGTTATCAAAATATCAATATAAATTATGTATTACTTTTCACCTGCCCTGTCATTTATTATAATAGTCCTGCTATATTATGGATGGTAAGTACAGGTACATGTAGTTCTAGAATGCATGCACCCCCCCTCCCCCAACACACACAAACACACATAGCTTCCCTTTTGTTTGCATGCTGATTAAAAAAAAATGCAACTGTCAATTTCTATCTCTGTTTCCAGGGTAAAATCTCCCATTACTGTCACCAACTCCTTCTCATACCAGGTACATGAAAATTGTGGTACTAGTCCTGTTCTGTTCAGCAAAATCTGATTTTGTTGTGTTCACTTTTAAGAATCTACCCTTAAATAAACCTACATCTCTAATTTTTTTAACAAGATGGGTTAAATTCCAATGAAAAATAAAATGAAATGATAAAAGATAACCCCAATATTTCACAGATTGGAATACCTTTTGGATAAAAATTCGTTTTCTTTAATGCTACCGGTGTACCGCCACGAGCATCGGTTCCCCTGCAATGTTAGAAATATTGACATGTTCTATTCATACTTGAAAACACAAACCTGCATGTATAATGTTTTACATATTTTGGTACAAAATAAAAACATATAATAACCCCTCCCTAATACTGCAGAGGGTCTTCAGCCGACAAACTTAGAATAGCCGCTCCCTGGATTTTTGTGTACACTTTAACCCAATCACTGAAAGCTGATGGGATGACGTCAGGGATTCCCTCTATGTTGATTTCCGCACACAAAATCATGGTAGACTACGGTGCTTGCGGACACGATGAAACAACTTTTAGTTTTTCCACTCACATTTACTGTAATTTATTTTATTCAGCGAACTAGTGGTGATGAACAAGTTAAGCAACAATGTACAGAAGGATGTAGCCAAGTTCTGGTGAGTGGTTTTGACACACTAACTTTATAAAGTTTCACCGAACTTTTCGTAGTACTACATGTATTTCTATCCTAAATGAAGTTGGTTCTCAGCGAGTTCTACTCTAGGTAGCATGCGATGTATAGTTGGCATGTGAATGTGTTACTTAGAGCATGAAGGTCGAAAAGCAGTGTCTTGGGTCATGACCAACGATGTTGGAATTAAACTTTTTTGGTGACAGGTGAAAGTCTTCTTGACTCATGAGTATTTTGGGGTGCCATATAACATCTGTCGTACTAGGGCCATGTCGAAAATGTCTCGACCAGAGTACTTGATGTCACTATCAGCTGTTGACACACAGTAGTCTGTCATGGTCTGTTAAAGTGTGTTTGAAAGAATATAAACTTTCAGATTGCCTGTATTAGGCAAATTCAATTTAATCAAGCTGCCATGCATGCATTGATTTTGATTTAATTATGGACCCATGATTTGCTTAATTGTCATTTGTAAAGTTAAGATAAAGAAATAGTTTTCAGAGAAGCATGGTGAGGTACATGTAAGCAGTAAGTGGAGCAAGGGATACATTTCTGATACTGGCATAAGATGTTGAATTCATTAAGGGTAAAATATTCATAAGTATAAAACTTGAGGGTTCTAACTATGAACAATCTCTTCAATTTGTATTTGGCAAGTTCTAAATGAAAAAAACAAGGGAAAGGAAAACCAAGAACAACATGGATGGAAAACATAAAGAAATGGATCAATCAAAATATAGAGAAAGCATATGAATGGCACAAGATCAGAGGCATGGCGATTCATGACAACCAACCTGCTGAGAGTGGATGGCATCCAATGATATGCCAACACATTGGTGAAGTTCTAATTCCTTTTGACTCCTGATCCCTTTATATTTCAAATCAAACATATTTAGGAAGACACCTTTTACAGATAAGCCAAGAGATATGAGATGCATTTTTTGGGGGTAATTTTTAATGTGTACTTATCAAGACTGCTGTGTACAAGTGTTTGTGTATATGTGCATGTATCACGGTGTATGTGTGTTAATTTTTGAGTTTGTTTTCAGAATTGCTGGTGACAAAGTTCCTTTATTTTTTATTTATTTATTCTTTAATATTAGAAAGCTGTCAGAATATTTTTGTATAATTCTGTGGAATAGCTCTATAACAGTACTAAAAGAAAATCCGATGAACATATATATATATATTCAGCTTTTCACATTTCCAAATCTACGTGGTGAATGCATGCACGTTTTCTGAGTGCATTAGCATGTGATCAACAGCATTTAAGATGTATCCTTATGATTTTTTTTAGTAATAATCTGTTGTTGAAAAGCAAAGATTTGGCATGAGAAGGTAAAGATGATAGAATTAATGAGTTATAAACATGGAGTTTGCATGTAGTGGAACTAATCACTGCCTGATGATGATTTCTCATGGCTTTTAGTCTACACAGGTTATTCTAGCTTAAAAACACATTATGAAAATAAAATGACATTTTTGCTGGTAATTGCTTCACTGCATGAACAGAAAGAAAAAAATAGAAGGGACTGAAAAATAAGAAGCTCAGACTGTATTAGTTGTCCATTAAATTAGCCATGTAATTTTCTACCTCAGTCAGTTCAAGTTGCTCAGAAGTAAACAGGAGAATTGAAACTGTTCTGGTTTACAGGAAAAGAGCACCTGTCATCTCCATGGTTAGTATAGGCATTTTTCAAGAGGCACATAGGCACCAAGAAGAAAAAACGTAATAGATTATTTCTTAATTCTTACATTAGTAGCTTTTGATCTTTTTTTGCCAATGGTTAAAAAAATTGATTAACCCCCCCCTCCAAAAAAAAAAAAAAAAAAATTCATAAGTTTGCCAAAATAGATCTATATACTTAATAATCTATAAGTTTAAATACTTCAGTTAATCCTGTAGTACATGATGTACTTTTATATGTTACTTCTGTTATCACACAATATCCGAATTTGGATCAATTTTTTAACAGTTTCAAACAAGAAATGCAGTCGGACAGTTTGGGTAGACAGTAATGATGTTAGGTATCTACAGCTGTGGCTTATGAAATAAAAACCCTAGGTATTGATTGAACCCTATACTCTTAATGTGATATTATATAGACATTGCAGTCATTAATGTAATGTTAGTTCTTAAAACTGTCTCCAGGACCGCTTAAGAGATTACACAGAGTAAGAGGGCCCATTCTGTAAAATTTGCACATGAAACAGTGAAGTTAGGACAGAACTTAACACCACCTACTTATGTTGCAGAACCCCTATCCTAGCTATTTCACATACACTGCATTTGACATTTTGTAAATGAAAGGATGCACACACACAAAGTGCAGAAACTGGGCTGCAGAAACACTTGGAATTCATTTTCCAGAGTTCACCCAAATATAAGACATAACTTGAACTTGTGCTTAGCATATAAACGACTGATGTGTAGCTAAAGGGGTTGAATTCAATCTGCAAATCCATGTTATTCTGTAATTTGGAAATCTTATTTTTTGATGGACTTAATTTTGAATGTCCCATCTCATAACTTTCAACTGCATTTATGCCAAGGCTCGTCTTCTTCTCTCCCCACCCACACCCCCACCCCAACCCAACCCCTACTCAAGCACATGTACAAGTATAAACTTAGATGATGATGATGATGATGTTGAAAACCATGCTATCTTCAATCTGTGAGAGTTTTTTACCAAAAGCAGAAGGAAACAAGGATGTCCTGTATAGCCCATGTATTGGGCCATTAGAAATAAGCGGATGTTCATCTTTATAAATATTGTTCATCTTTATATCGATCTTTTAGATCGAAGAGTTTACATAAAACCAATATCAAGGTTGTTATTTTGTGCTTGTTTCAGTATAAGTGCACGGAATCAGAACAAGAGAATGAAGTGGTTTGCCAACCTGCTGAGACAGCAGATAGAAAAGGTGTTATTTTAGCCTATCTTGCACCTGTCATGATATATAGAATACACCACATACTATCACTTTCAACACATGCAGGTATGCTGAAACAACTTTTTCTTGCAGCATTTGTGCACTGTATCAGAAAGAATAATAAAAAAATGGCAGGGGAATCCAGTGTCTTGAATTAATTTTGTACTCCTTTGCTCTGTAATTTTTAGCATGATCATTTCCACGTTATGATTGATAGTATGTGGAAGACTAGTTATTTTGAATTCATGAGTGGTTAATGTCATAACAACCAACTTATGAAAGTGATCTGAGTGATTTCACTGAAATTTTTGTTGTTTTCAAGAAAATTCTTAAATCACAATATCATAAGGTTTTTGTGCTGCCCCCCCCCCAAAAAAAAATCAGATTCATTGCTCCTATAATGTATATGTGTATTGCGTGTGTTAGTGTATGTATGTGTGTTATTGATTATATAACCTCTAACATTGATTGGTATCTGAACAATCTTTTATGTGTCCTGAACAAAAATTAACGGTATGTGTCATTTAGTTGTATTTTTGCCTCATGTTTCAACATGAAGGAAATGTTCAAAATTTAAAACCAAGTGTTTCAGGATACTGCAACTTAGTTATTTCCATCAAGTACCAGCACATTTCTGATTGTTCTCTGATGTTTATCCAGATACATCTTTTTGTGTTACTTTGGATAAGTGGACATATTAACTATGGAAGAGACCACCAGTTTGAAAATTTTGAAGCACTCTATTGAAGTTTCCAGATGAGAATTTAGACGCTATCACCAGCATATCCAAAACAGAATTTACTATCTTTACATGACCGTGAAGGGACTTCCCTAGACTAATTTTACATGATTGTTCCAAACTTCCATTTGTGCATTGTCATTGTTTAGGTAATTGCTCTTCAACTGTTGGGGTTAGAGTGGTGGGAAATATACAAGACTGGGAAATCACTGAACAAAATGTAAATTCATATAAGTATTGCTTTTACAGATGGGTTAAATAAAGAACTGTGGATATATTTGAATATGATACCTAATACGAAACATTGTTCTTGTGCAAGAGTGGAATAACAATGTTTTTACCATTAGATTTACATTATTGTACACATATTCAATTTGATGCACGAACACAATATTGTGGGTAACTCTTAAAATAGTTTGAAATTCCTTTAATGAGGGCAAGATAAGGTCAAAAGCTGAAAATTATATTTTTTACACTTAATTTCAATTTAAAATTCATTTGTATGACCTTAATACTGTTAATCTTATAAAACCAAACAGTATCTTTATTCCGTGTTTGGCACGGATCTACACTGCAAATGAACTTTTGAAGTGGCAAGAACAAAGCCAGTGGGTTGATTTAGCAGTGCTGATGTCAGTATTCAAAAAAAACTAGCACCAACAGAAAATGCAAAATCAGTTCTGACATGTGCAAGTTTTTTTAAAATTCGCATTCACACATATATAAAGGATGCATAAAAGGTGCTTTGATACATATATAAGTACTTAGTATTACATCAAACAATGGCTATCACATTTATTTTAAATAGAGTTTGTTTTATAAGCTAACATAATTAAAACTAGAAAAGCACTCAGAGAGCGCAGACCTCCGCCAAGGCAGCATTTTTTTATTATTATTGATTATTGATTGATAATTGATCCGGATCACCACCAAAAACTAATCATCCCTTCCTTGGCCCACTTCTGACAGTTTCTGAAAATATCATCAAAATTGGTTTATAACCTTTTGAGTTATGTTGATGACAGACAAACATACAAACAAACAGACAGACAGACAAACAGGGGTGAAAACATAACCTCCTTGGCAGAGGTAAAATCATGAATCTATTCGTTTAGCTTTTTTTGAATTTTTGAAAAGCTTGAATTTCACCAATTGCAAAAGAATTTTTGGTTCTTCAGTGTAATAGATACCCTCCCTTTGTAAAAAATTATTTAGCACATTTTTTGCCCCTATATTACTAATATGTCATGTGTGAAAAGAAACATATAAAAGAGACTAAGAAAATCAGTTTGTGGTCTCATAAAGATAGCCACAAAAAACATTAATGTTTTGAAAAACAAATTTATGAAAGTAAAAAACAAGCCCAAATATTTGCATCATTGCACAGGAAATGGTATTTGCATTTTAAAAAGGTATTTTGTTGTTATCAGGTGTGAATTACTTACTGGTATGTAGTGTGAGACATATTTCAGCAGTTATGTATAATCATAGTTACACCCACTCTGTGATCTGCAAGACTTTTTTGCAGTTGATCACTTTTTATTAGCACTGGATGGCTTTTACAGCTGTGAAGTTCTCCTTTGCATATTGCATAAAACAGCCTACAGTTTTTTCTCTTACCCCCGAGACTAAAATTTCTGAGTTGTTTGTGGTGCCAAAAATTGTAGGCTTTCAAATTGGCATGGAAACAGCAACTATCAAATAGCATTGGCATGCATGTGTGTATCATTTACACACAGCATTTCTGGGCTACAAAATGAGAAATTTCCTCAAAATTTGCGTTGGAATTTTTAGAATATTAAGGGACACCTGACAACTTTGCCTGCTAATTCTAAAGTTAAAGATCACATTACAGTTGACAGGTGCTATGGAGAAATTTAAAAGGGCATGTATATGTATGCACTTTCAGCTTTCAGAATCCTGCTGTTTGAAAGAACTAATCACATCATGTTTGGTTCTTGTTAGTGCCAATGTTTATTCCCATTCAACAGAACTAATTTATGTAGAGTTTGTAGAAGAAAAAATATATATATAATACAGAGAGTGTACAGTGCACAGAGCAGTGAATGAAATAAATGTGTAAAACATTTTGAATTTTTTTCTATTTTAAGTTTAAGCCACTTGTCACCCCTTTTTGTATTCCTTCAATAAATATTGTACCTCTCTGATGTCCTCTACAGCATCTCATTATATGAGTTTCTTTCTAATCCAAGTTAAGTAGGTCCAGCTGTCCTTTACAGTAGAGGTTCCTTTACCACTTTTGAAGGGAAGGTTACATGTTTCTTGAGTGGTTAAAAACTAAATTTTAAGTGCACATTTTCTGCCAGAACCTCAGGTTGGGTCACTTCCTTTTTCACAAGCATCTGGTTTTAGGAAGTTTTTTTTTTTACTTTTGAATATTCTTTACAGTAGCATTATTCTGGGATTGTAAGAGATTTGAAAATAGAAGTTTACATTTTTTGCAATTAAAATCAGCTTTTGAAATTGCAAATTGAAAAGTATGGTCAGATGAATGAGGAAGTATAGAGTAAACTGGTACAGGAAACCATAAAGTACCTCATCAAGATTATGTGGTATGCGGTGTAAAATATACAGGAAAACTAACCAAAAAAATTAGATGAAACGCCAAAAAAACTTGTATGATTTTTTTTAGATATCTGACATTCATACAAATAAGTATAGCTTGCCAGTTAATGGATGGCAGCCACTTGATAAATGTGAGCCAGTGATGTTTCTGTACTCCTGAAACTTGATTTTAGGTAGAAAAAGCACCAACAAATATATCAACAGGAATATTAACTGAGCTATCCTAATGAGAAGATCAGGTTGTAAAATAGATCAGTTGTTTTAATGCAATAGAGTTGTCAACTTTAAGATCATTCTCAGTGTTTTATCTTGAAAGTTTTTATGTACTTCCTCTTTTTGCCTCTGACAAAAAAAAAACAACAACCTAGATGGCGTTGATGAGTAGCTATCGTACTCCCCTGCACTTTTACCATTGTCCACCCCCAGGTATAGTGGTCTAGAAATAACAGAAATTACAGCATGAAAGGAATTTGGAATTATCCACCCCCAGGGACAGTCCAAGCCCCTGGCACGCTAAGATCCCATTCCCATACCTAGATTGATCTAACAGGATCGATCCATCTTCAAGGGGTTTCTCACTAAATTGCTTTCAGCTTAATTGGCTTAGCTGTCTGGCATGCCTACTAAAGTTGCTAAACGATAGTTAATTACCCCCTAACAGCTCCTAGAGTAGAAGTTACTAACACACAGACTCTCATACCCACGAACTCATAGATACTCAGACGGGCGAGTTAACGTGATCCCCGACTTTTGTCCCAGAAGTGCAGAGATAAAAAAGTTTCTTCTGGCTATAGGGTTTTTTTTTCATTGTAGCCGCTTATGTGCTTCTCATTTTCTAAAATGCCATCCTAGTTTCTTAAAAAGCCCATTTAACCCCCTTCTTTCCAGCCATTTCAGTCCAATCCCGCTGCTCCCCTTCAATCTCTAAATAGGAGCACAATTCAACACCTACTTTAAACAAACAATAAAAAGATGGCTGAAATAGTATGATAGAGGTGGATAGTATGTATACAGGTAACTTTTGAACAGTCCCATTATGTAGATGATGAAGAAGTAGATGAAGAAGTCAAATTAGGCTATTTCTACTCTGTCACAAAACGTATTGTTTTTTTAGGTTTAGATAAGACAGCCAAACTTGGACAGTCAGTTATGTGAGTTCAGCTTTCAGATATTGGTCTAAGAATGTTCTTTGGATGATTGCCCCACAGTTAAGGTAGTACTCAAATAAGCTATTGTCATTATTTAGAATGGATGTGATTGTCAAGACTATTGCAATGTGCTCTAGATGTTGAGGTTTTGAAAAAAGAATGGCCTAAGTCTTCTAGAATCAAAATAGTCTTTGCCAAGACTGATTTTAGACTTAAATCACTTAGTTAAACAGTATGAGTATACTATGTAAAGAGAAAGAAAAGCAGAAACAAACGGAAAAACAACGGAAAAATAATGGGGAAATGTGCCACAGAAGCTTGCTTTGCACTACTAAACTGTGCTATATCATCCTATAAACACGCTCAAGGGAATGCATGGTTTCATATATTGCTGTAGTAACATGATTTTCTTAGATTTAGATTAGTGTTTCAGGTTCATGTTACTACATGAAGTGCAACGTAATTTTGATAGTGTAAAGACATGGATAGGTGCCACAGAGTTGAAATACCATACCAAAATGTCACACAGGTCATGGGATGGGCAGAAAAATACCTAACAGTCTGCTTTCCTAGATTTAGTGAGTGAAAAAACAGCTGAACATGTGGCATAGAATGTAACCAGTAGTTGCTAAGAAAATTGATGGGGTTTCAATTATTTCTTTCCACTAACTTTTGTATTTTCTGGCTTTGGAAGGGAATGCTTTCTCTAAAGTTCATTATTTCAGGTTTCCTCTTTCCAATATACCCTCAAGAAAATGAAGTGATGCACATACAGTCATTCAGTCATTAAGTTACTTTATGACATTTAGAGTTATAGCAGTGCCTTTGAAAAGTTATCAAAATTCTAAATTGTCTTTTTCTTTAGATGTCTGAGGGAAAGTGAACCAGACATTATTATCACTAGTCAGTGAACTCTTCTGCATTGCTTTGTAAAACTTTGCGTAGTTGTTAATTTCTTTTCTTTTAGGCATAGTTGAATATTTAAGATTGTAAAATGGCTTACACAATTTGGCATTTGGAAGTTAAATGTGGGGGTAAAAAAAAAACTTTTATGATGCAAAAATGTTTAAGTTAGCTCGGCCAGCAATAAGGCAATAGTCTGTGGCTTTTTGAAAAGCCACAGTCTACTACTCTGCTTTCAACAAACCCACAAAGAAAAATATAATTAATGAGGGTGATTCATTCTGTTCGACCTAAAAATTTCTGCTGCCAAAAGCAAGTGTCAAAAAGTTGTTAGAAATTGGTCAACACACATTATATACTTTTAATAGTGACCCTTTCTCTGAAAATTTTCAAGGATTTTAAACTTAAAACATTTTGATTGTAACATTTGATTTTCATTTCATTATGCAGATAATGAAGCATCCCTAATAAAACCTAATATTTCAAGTTCCAAATAAACATATTGCATATGTTAAAGGAAAAGTGGTCTTAAAATTGGATGGAAGCCTCAGTTAATATCAGTCACATTGACATATGACTTTACCTTCTGAACTCTCAACTGGTAACCTCTTCTTAAATAGCTTAGGGTAACTTGACAAATTGCCATCTACATGTATTCATGTAAAAAATTGACCTCTGTTAGCAAAATAAATCAAAAGATCATATATCAGGAGAAGTATGATAATGGTCCTGATGTCAAGGTAAACCCATAAATTGCACTGGCTGTACCTATTAGCCAGACTGGAAAGTCACAACAGTTACTAAGAATTAACTGAACCTAAAAGATCTATTCATTTATATTATATCACACATTTGAGTACCCAATTAAGATAATAATGATCAAATAACTTCAAATATGAAGATTGATAATTTTGTGATTCCTGCAACAATAATGGCATGACCAGCAAGTCATGAGTGTCATGAGTGACTTGTTGATTTTTTAAAAAACTGGGATTTCCTGTGAAAATGTAGATGGCAAATGGGATTTTTTTTTCATTAAATTTGTTAAAATTCTTTAAATTTTCATTGTTTTGCTTACAGATTGATGCAGTGTTTTCAATTTATATTTATCAAAGTTTAACACTTTTTTCCAGAATGATGTGAATTACTTTGATGATCTGAAGTGCAACACATCTTGCAGAGAAACACAGGTAGTGTAAAACATTCATGCATTCTCTTTTTAAACCCATTACAAGGGTTGAATGTACATACAGAATTAAGAGCCAGAACCCTGTTAATACATAACAGTTGAAATATTTGTTTATGGATACTATAAAGTCATGAAAGTCACATTCTCAGGGATTTTCAACAGCATCCTTTATTTGATTTTTCATAGGTTATGTTTTATTCATGATAATGTATGATTTCAAAGAAGTGTGAGTTAGTGGGCATCATTCTCTGGGATATCAATTCTCTTCCCTGTTGCACCTGCTATAGGAAGAGGTCTGGAATTCGTTTTGACAAGTGTATTTTCAGTGTCCAAGAGAATAGTATGAGCTGGTCGCCCATGCATCTATCAAAACAAGAAAGTCTGGCATTCATCAGAAATGAAGCCTTAGCCAAACCAAGACAAAGCATCCAATGCAGTTTGTATCACATTATTTTGAACCAAATATTTGACTCATTCTTCGATGTCAATTTTCCATTGGAAAGACATTATCAGGAGAGGTGTAAGAAAATGACAAAAATATATTACATTTTATCATATTTTCATTGATTTCTCTCAAAGTTAAACATGTTCTTGTCTTGTATTTACAAGAAACAGATAACTATGTACTAGCATGCATGGTGGCTAACCAAAAATGGTAAGGTATTGGATCAATTCATGGTGCCTAATCCCATACCAAATGGCCTCCCACGAGTTTCATTATAAACTTTCCAGCAAATTGATATTTCATATTGCTTGATAAGCTGACAAATCATTTTTTTTTTAATTTTTCGTCTCTTGGTGTTGTGATTCCTTAGAGAGATTTAAGCTCAGTAAACAGCTGGAATATTTTGCCTGCCAGCATGAAGAGACAAGAATTTGCTTTTTAAGTTCTCTATTTTATGACTTATTGAAAACAATTAACATTTAGAGTTTCTGATTACCAGACTATCCACTTCTTAGCAGTCACAATGACAAGAGTAGTCAGAGAGATTAAAGTGTAGGCAGTAATGATTCATGAAACCAGATAGAGGAAATCACATATTTCCGTAATAGCAGGAAAAGTGAAATGTCATCTAGCTGTTTAAGTCATTTGAATAAGAATATGGCAATTTGTATTTTGCTACTGCTGTCAGTTAGAAAACCATGCACTGATATGTTAGAAATAGTTCAAATTCAGCAGACAGGTGTTTTTAGCAATACTTTCACTGAAGGAGTGTGTTGTGGGATATTGTTCTAGGTGCTGACAAAGCGCCTGTACTTATTTAGCATGGGTAAACAAAATTGCTGTAGTATGCAAAGCTATATGAGTGCATGCTTTAAAACTTGAAATATTTTGTGGGACAATTAGGGCCACTAACCTCCCAAAAAAGCTCAGTTATCAATATTTATTAGGACTTTGGGTATTGCTTTCAAAACAAGAGCCTATTATATTACTTGGTGCAGGTCACCTCTCTCAGTAGCCCAACACGCTGAACAGCGTCAGGGGACAGGGGACAGCTTTATGTGACGTGATGTTAGATAATGACGTGTTGTTCTTACAACAGCACATTAGTTTCACATCATTTTAAAATGTGTTAAGATGCATGCTTTAACCAAGAAAAAGTTACAGTAAAAGTTAATGAAAATAATTAACACTACTAACAGCATTTAAGACCATTTATAGATTTGAAAGTAAAGAGATTGCTGAAGTTGAGTGTTCTGATATATATGCCTGTACATTAGTACATAATATGAAATTTAAGAAATTAGGTTATGTTGTATATGAAATTTATGGCCAGTATACGAGCACAGTACGGACATCACTTCACATATGTAAGATAATCTAGGCTTAACTTGTATCTATTACATATTATGCAATTAACTGATACATAACTTCATTATAATTTAATTTTACATTAAATACAGTGCAGAGGTGCACATGAATTTAACATTCATGTTTAATTACAGTTTACTATGAGGTAATTATAATTTCATATAAAAAGTAAAGTATATTTTATTCATCGTCTCTGTGCTCTAGCTGTACACTTTTCGGAATAATGATCATTTGTCATAGCAGACCATTGGCATTGCTAACCATTAGGCATAGTGAACCTTCCCCATAGGGAACCTTCATCATAGCAGACATTCAGCATAGCGAATCTTCATCATATAGAAGCACACCCATGAGGAACTCACTGTTATGCCACCTGTCATCTTGAAAAGTCTTTACAGCATGCATAAAGGATGAATAGAGTGATGAAGATATACTTCTGAATGTTCCCTTACTCTAATTTAATTAGTTTTAGGAATTTTACTGTGGTTTATTCTCTCTGCATTGGTCCTGTTTTCTATTACTTTCAAGTGAAAAAGTGGACTGCTTATCATATGATTACTATTTTATATACATGATTTGGGTAATGATAATGGTCATGTCAATGACTTCTTGGCAGGAGACAATCTTTGTACAGTGTTAACATGACGTCTGTGATTGAAAAGGATGGCACTTAGATAAAATAATTCTTATACTTATAGCCTCAATCATCTTCATGAAGTAGATGGATGTCCACCACTGCAGGCTGTTCTACATTTATTACTTAGTAATGATTTGTATATTTTCAATTTTTCATTTTGACTGTAATCAATCAGTAATAACAAAGCTTTATCTATAAAGCATTTTTATTAGAAAACAGAACTCTCACATACTAGTACTTGCTCATTTTTTGAAAATTCTTTCATGCTGAGTTGGCAATTTTTCATCCTGTCAAGCTGTATGAGTCAAAAAGGGTTAAATTGGTATTAACTGCCCAAGAGAGACAACAATTTAACAGAATCAGATAAAGTTCAGATTCCCAATCCAGAGTCGGAAAAGTCCAATGCATTGCTTGTATTTTGCTCTGTCTGCCACTTGTGTATCTAAATTCGGTTGTTTTGTTGCAGTTCTAAGTTGGTTAAGTTATCAGTACTGCTTTGCTGCCATGTAGTCTTTATAGACATTGTTTGTGTGGACATATATAGCCTTCAATTGTGTCTGTTGCAACTAGCCTGATTGGATTATTTTTCTAGTAAATATTTTTATTGACTGATGACCAGTTTAAAAATTAGTTACTTATGATCTTTCTTTTTTTTTCAATAAGTTGGTCTTTGTGTTCCAAGCAAATCTTAAGAATTAGATAAATATAAATCCCTTATCATAGTTATTCTGCTGACAGAAATTTGGCAGTCAGACAGACCAGTGAGTATAAGTGATCACATTATCTCCACTGTGAAACAGTTTTAGGGCACTTGTAATTTCACTAAAAGTCTAAAAAACATTATTCCTGTTGTTAAAAAAACATGTTTGTGAACTATTTATATACTTAAAACGAACATGAAACAAATAAAACTTAATATTAATGGTGTATTGGGTCACTATCAATAAGATATTCTTTCTGTTTGTCTTTGTTCCAGTTTTGATATTTTACATTTAGTGCACATATCCTCACTATTTCCTCAGGGTTCAAGTGTTTTAAGGACCAAAGAAGTGTTTTAGAGTATGCAGTAGTGGTGTTTTGAAGTGCTTAAAAGGTTTTGATTTTAGATTCTACAAAAATATTACTCAAGTTATACTCCTTCTGAGGTCCTATGTATATTTTCTTTGGAAAACACTTCATAAGAAGGCTAGTGTTTCATGATCATCTTTCTTACGTAAGCTCATTTTTGATTTACCAAATAGTTTTGATGTTGTTTTTCTTCTCTCCTTTCACCATGTATGTTTGACACTAATGTGTTTGCTACTTTTGACCAGTGTACCTGTCTGCCCAAGTTATTTCTGTGCTGTACTTATCAAGCAACCAGTTACATTTGTTTTTCTAATCAGATCAGCACTAATTTCAGTGCTATATATTTTTATTCTTGATATTATTTTAAATCACCAAAAAGCTGAGAGTTGAACACACCATGTGAAAATTCTGCAAGGAAGTATCACAAACAAGAATAATAAAATCTTTAAGATCAGAACATGTGTATTGATTGGTGGCAACAAAACTGAAAAGCAGGCTACCTTATAGTTTTATTCTATACAGTAAGAGCACTACAAATCCTACCCAGAAGCATATTAACAATCCCAAACTTATGTGACTGAAAGATGGATAATTTTTCCTTATTGAAAAGATCCTGTCCGTACACAAATGGCAGACATATATAAATATCCAAACCAATTATTATAAAACAGACATTGAAAGGGGCTCAATTCCAACTTGCAGTTTCAAAATGTAAGAAGAGAAATGTTTTTAAGATAGACAGGATCATTTGAAACTGACCATGACCTTACAATCTAAGTAAATAAATGAGCTTCCTCACAGGCTAGAGTGCAAATATTCAGGTGGGTGAGAAAAGAGCACAGTAGTAGGTATGTCTGGAATTGATGAGCTCTAAGTGGCTGTATCAACTTCTGGGAAGGGTGTGAATAGCTGAACATAAATATTTCCAAACAAAGTCTAATGAGTTCCATCTTAATTGCATGATTGAATCACTAATAGCATCAGCATTTATTTTGAAGAGTAGGATCCTTCAAACCTTTCTCACTAAATGATTATGGCCTGTTTTTTCTCTCATCACATCTATTTGACGGCTTGTCAGAACCTGGGAAACGTGTTTTGGGTTATGTTGCTGATCCTATCCTAATAGTTTTTTCTGTAGTTTCTGCTGAAAGATTGGAGGAAATGAATATTAGTTCCAGAGCAGTGGCTTCTGTTATTTGATATGCTCTTGTCAGAATAAATGTTACAGCAAGAAGATAACATTGTGATGATGTTTTTTCCTTTCCATCTTTTGTAGTCGCTGAAAAAATATTGACAATAAAAATAAGTCTATCTGTTAAAATGTTAATTGCTTTGAATTGAAGATCAAGGATTGTTCTATTGTGTAAAGCAGTTAGTGAAAATGCACATACACCATGAAGAAAGTTCCCAGAAAAGGATGGACAGGCAAAAAAATAATCCAGACAAAAACTGACAGAGAAAGGCAATGCTTATATTTAAGCATTTCCCAGAAACAGATATATAAGCAAACTTCCATTTTTTGCAATAAAAAAGAAAATCTGTTCCTTATCATGCCCATATTGTGTTTCCTGGTTTTAGATAAGGGTATAACATCAGTGTTTGAAAATATCCCTAAGTCTTATTTTTTACATCTACTTATTCTGCAAAGCTATTTTATTAACTAAAATGTAATGAAACATCATATCCAAAGAAAATTTTTTTGATGAGAATTCAATTTGGCAAGAAAATCCCAGATAGATACCTTTGATCAAGTGGATAAAAAAGCAGATAAAAAGTTATCAGTTGTATTTCAATGAATTTTTGATTAATTTAACATAATGGAATTGCTTTTGGTAGTTTTGACTCGGTAGCATTCGCGGTATCTCTGTGGTGTTCAATGGGAAAATTTAGTCAAAAAACACAATGAATACATGGAACATCTCTGAATTTGTCCACTAAATTTGTAGAAATCCTATAAACAGTTGTATTCTGCATACTTGAAAAACTGTTCTTTTTCCCATTATCTTTTAACCTCTATCAGGAATATTTCTCCCCAAAATTAATGAAATATGAAGGTTCATCATCAGCAACTCTTTGACCAACAATTTTTCTCAGTTAGATGTCTGCTTCTTTGACCATTTGATAAGTTATAGACATTCTAGATCCATATTTCACATTCACCTGTTGCTATTAGTTTCATCTTTACTTTTACGTCTGACTTCTGCCTCAGACTTACACCCCATTTCCATAGATTTTTAGATCGATCTATCCCTGTGGGGAGTCTCACTAGATTACTGTCGGCTTGGCCGGCTTAAGCATCTGTCCCGCCTACTAAAAGCTGTAAAGGGGTAATTAACTATGGTGCCCGCTCGGCTGACTGCAATTTAGCGTGAACCCCCAGGGAGTTAGGTCGATCTAAATCTTAATCTTTAGATCGATCTAAATCTCTGGGAAAGCACCCTTAGTTGTATTTTTTTATCTGAGAGTTGTTATGCTGCAAGTTATTCATAAAAAGCTATAACAATGTTACTACAATGCCAATTAATGAGCATAAATTTGTTATATGAAAAGGAAAAAATTGCAAGAGCAGAGGGAGGAAATGATGTTTTTGTTAAGTTCTCTTTGGTGTTTTTTTTTAATTAAACATTTTAGTAAATTGACTGATGTTTGAAAGGTGTCTAAGGAAACATAGTAACACAGGGGCATAGTGTTTTTCTCTAATGGCTTCTTTAGACATCATTACATCAAAGGTTACACATATACACATTTCACAATTTATAAACAGATCGACCTCACAGTTTGAATAAAAATATGCAGTGAGCAAGTTGTGTGTAAATATTTTCGAAATGTTGAAATAATTCTTAGATGAACATTTATTCATTTATATATATCTGCGCCTTTTTATTTGTCTATCTGCCAATATTGTTGAAATATATTTCTGTGGAAATAATATTTCAATGTCCAATACTGTGTGAATGTTCTATAGATAGATACATTGCATTGTTTTTTATTTTTTCATAAAAATATATATATATTAAATAGAGGTAGCATATTATACAAAATATATATAATTTTTTCAGTGCCAGAATGGTTGTGATATATGGAGGAAGAGTGCAAATAATGTCCTACCCTGCAGTGAGGCATGTGTAAGTATTTTGTTTTTATTAGAACTAATTCCTATATTATCTATTTTAGGATGTCTTCTTGACTTTTAGCAGAGAACCTTTTAGAGGATAGTAGTGTATAAAATGAGAGGATCTGGATTTATTCAGCTTGTCCCTTGCCTGCTACATGTATCTCTGCTGTTGGGTCTTATTTTAACTTATCAAAGTTTACATTATATATTCTTTGCAAAAAAGTTAAATTGTTTGCATTTAATTTACCAGTGAGATATTGAATACTTGTATTTCAGAACTCTTCAGGCAGCAATCAAAATCAAGTAAGTTACCATTTCAGAAACATGCTAAAATAATAAAGCTTTCTTAATATTTGATTTTGTTCTATTGTGTAATTGCTCATGGGCATTAGGATCATTCAATCACTTTACCTCTGCCATCTGTCAGTAAAAAGTCTGCAAAATAAACATAGTTTATTCAAACAGTAAAGATTTATTATATAGGAATATAAACAATTTACATTTTTCTTTTCAAAGCTGCAGTTTTGTACAAGAGGATGTAACTTAGCAATGGATATATATGCGCAGAAAATAAATGGTATATAATTGCTTTTGATTTCATAATTCTTTGCTATCAGTGATTTTTAAAAAAAATTTTTTCGTTAAGATATTTTTCCTCAATTGAAGTGATTTTTAAATGATTGATTATGCACATATACGCACACGCACACACACACACACACGCACACACACACGCACACACACACACACACACAGTTCAAATGTCTCCCTTGTTCTTGTAGCTACATTAGGTGCCCTAAAACAGCCTACATTAGTTCCTGGAGGTTTAAGCCATTCATCTGTGATCTTACACTGGGAACCCCCAATTGACAACCTCACATACCATCTGCAGGGGAAGTTTGCCCAGTTTCCAGACACTTGGAAGTACTTTGACAATGTGGAGAAGTTGGGAAATGAAAACATGCTTGTTAAAAATCTCCGTCCCTATGTACAGTACAAGGTACACATTCCAGAAAGCAGTGCTGACTAAAGAATTTTCTCTGAGCCTGTTTTGTACTTTAAGACTTATTATCAGAATTAAAGATATGTTGTACTTGGTAGAACATTTCCTTTGAGTTATTTTGGACACTGCTTGTCTTGAGTACTTGTTGTGATAAAACTTAAAGATATAATGTAACAATTTAGTGGTGTGTGTGTGTGCATGCGTGCGTACGTGCATGTGTGTATGTACATGCACACACACATTTAATCAGAACTTATTGATTATGTAGTCTGTCTTGTTTTGTGGTATGTTAAAAACTTGATATTTTAATGAGAAAAGAAACAGAAGGTATCCTGCAGTGGTTCTTAAAGCTTTTTCAGTGTGTTTGATAATGGTCGGTGTTTTTATGAGAGAGAGAGAGAGCGTGTATTTGCATTTTGAAGTGTTCATGTGTTTGAGCCTGTTAGAGAAAGCATGCACATGTATTTATGTATTAACATGTTATCAAACATATTTCTTCGTTTGTTTTAGTTTCAAGTCATGGTTGTGATCACACCCAGGCATCTTCTAGAAACCCCAGAGAGTTATGCCATCCAGACACTGCCTTTTGGGGGTATGTATATTGAAGATGAATAAAAACATTATTGGGAAGTGGTGGAAATCAATGACATGCACATGGGCTTAAAATGTGAGGGTGCACTGCAATTATCACCAGTTCTCACTTGAGTTGTGATGGAAATGGTTTGTCTTGCTCAACTTAGCACTGTGTATCCTAAATGTTTCAGAAGGAAACCTCATTCTTCATTTGACAGATATATACAACAAATTATGTTAATATTGCTACTTACATTATAGTTCCTGCCAGTCCACCCAAGTTGACGAGCATTTCTGTTGAATCTCCTACTGTTATCCAAGTGTCATGGCAACCTCCCATGTTTCCAAGTGGACCATTGGTCAGATATGATGTAGAGCTCACAGACTTAAGTAATCCAGACAGAGACACCATCACGAAGGACATAGGCTTACAAACTAGCTGTACCTTTACCAGTCTGAAGCCAAGTACCCAGTATTCTGTGAGCATTGCTGCTGTAAACATGGAAGGATTGGGCCCTGCAGTATATGGGAATATTACCACCAGTGGACTGGGTATGCCTACAAATGTCATTTGGCTCATTTCTTCTTTGTGTCATTTCTTCGGTTCTTTAGTTCTGATGCAAACATGATGGTGTTTAAATTTGGTCAGTTTTTTTTCAGCACAAATGTTTTCAAAGACTGTGGTATGCAATGGCTTCTGTATGACCCCCTGTGTTTTCAGTTGGTGTTAAAAGTGACTAGTTAAGTTTAGGTGAAAAATATTGCTTTTAAGAGTTAAACATATTATTATTTCAGGGTCAATATTTAAATCACTCAGTTTAATTTTAAAGTTCACATATAATCATTGCTTAGGATATGATGCACATTGCTTAAAAAGGTTGGAAAGTGTTTTAGTTGGAAATTTATGATTGAGCTGTTGCCAAAGGGAGTCCTTGTTTTATGCAAAATTGGTTTAAACCTTGATTTTTGTGGAGATGAAGGGGCAGGTGTTTACTTTTACTCTTTTGTCCATGATGTACATATTGATTTGAGAGCTCTTTTGATGTATGCCATGCTATGATCTTCATTAAAAAATCTCAATTTTTACAAGATTACAAATTGTATCATAGTGTTTGGTACCATGGCCTCGCTTTCAGAAAATTAGAACTGGCGCTCTAAACACGGAAGCAGAGGTTAAAATATTACATGGGCCAATTTTGCCCTCGCATTGAAATATTCTCGCAGCATGATCTGCAATTAACCTCCCTAAAAATTTTAATGCATTTTGCAATATCATTTTCAATCTGCCACATTGAGCATTTTATTTATCAAGACTGGGGGAGGGGTGGAAAATCCCCTTGGGGCCACACATAACATTATAAATACAATGGGAATTCAATGGAAATAAATGTTATTCTAAAGAAAGTCTGCTGGATTTCAGTTTTACTACATACAATCAACAGGACATTTCCAATATACTCTCTCAAAAAGACACCAGAAAGCAAATTAAATCAAATCAATCAGATGGTAAACACAGGCAGGGTTTGTTAATTTCAACATTTGTTTATTTCAAACGGCACATTTTACGTGTATGCGCAGAAGTTTGAATCCTGTGCTTATTTTACCTAAGATTTACCAAGTGGTTTGGTTTGGTAAAAAGGCAGGTCCTTTTAGAAAATCAGCATGGGTTATTGATTGTAGCAATGGGAATGACTTTTTACTATCAAGTGTTTGTATATTTGCAAGCTTTATTGTCAGTGGACAGAAGGGCTAGTAGTAACCTACACAACTACTTGTTCAAGGGAATTGTCAATAGCATTTAGTGAAGAAAATCAGCTTTTTCGAAATGATTTCAGATTTCATTAGTTTTTTCTTTATTTTTCATTTCTCACGTAATGTGAAATTGCATGCTATTAATCTCCCTGGTCTTTTTAAAAAAGTAATTTTCTCCCAGGCACGATGCTCAGTACAGTTACCTGTAGTATATGCTACAACTAAGATAGGTTATTGCCAGTGGTTCTATCTTTAAAATATTCCCATTAATAACTCTCATTTTTACAGGAAATGACAGCTCTTCTCCGCCCTTTCTGGTATTCAGTGCAGCAAAGACCATCTACAGATTAAACATGCAGGATATCATCGCTGATCCTGAAATTATGACAACTGGCAGGTCAGATATCACAGGTAAAATGTTATACAAAAAATTACTATTATGGTTCACTGATATATCTACATATACAAAAGAGGGATATTATCAGATATTTTTTTACTTGTCAGATCTGACAAATTTTCAAAAACAAAAACGTATATGTATCCATGATCAGTTTACTGGCCATGTTAAAAAGCAGTTACCTTTGACAGTCACATTACCCTGCTTAACAATTTGAAAAAGAATAAGATTTGTTGAAATCAAACAGCAGAGGACAAGAGTGTTCATTTTGAAGAAAAAATACACCTCAGAGATAAGAATTTAAGATATTATTACTCCTAGGGAGAACATAGGATTGAAATATACTGTTACACATTTTCTTGATAAAATTGCTATAGTAAGATATAACGTCAGTAATACTCTAGGGCCCTAAAATTTTTGACCTGTAAAGAGATTTTTTCGATTCATCACTTTGAGGAAAAATGAAATAGGTAATTGATTATCATTGCAATCTAAGGCATGGAGAAAACTGTGTATCATTGATCAGAGCCCATTAATGATGCTAGATATGCTATCACAGTAAACCCCATGGGGATTTTTTTATCTCATTTACTCTTGCTTTAAAGCCTTTCTGTTGCCATGAAGATAACTTTTCCTAAGCAGTGCTTTTTACTGTTGCTTCATAAACTGAACTGTTGTTAAATTGCTTATGGATACGAAGGTGTTGATATTGATTCTTAGTTTTAGAGTAGAAGCAGTATGAATAGAGTTTTGATTTTGCATTTGACATAAGTGCTTAAGAAATGTTTTGCTTTAAGATAAGCTCTAAAAATGACATACTTTTTTTGTCCCTGGCTATTTTTGAGCCAAATTTGGGACAACAAGGAAGTACTACTGGAAGAGTAAGATCTTATTTTGAGATAATTGCATATTTTGAATAATACAGTTTTTACAGATCCATACAAATGTATATACACACATTATACTTAATTTAGTATATTGCTGCATGTGAAATGCATGTAAGTCCTATTTCTTTCCTTAGCTACACCAGGACTCAAGATAATATATAACAGTTCCACTGAGGTCCAAGGTAACGGTGGTTTGGGGTTGCTGTGCCATTGCCATTTCCATGGAGATGTTTTGTTTGATTACTGTTATTGCTTGTTTCCAAATACTGTTTACGTATACTGAATTGAAGTTGTGGGGCTTTCTATAGTTTGATTACAAATAAAGTTCACATTGCATAGTTAAATGTAATTTTTATGTACAGACACGGATGTGTCTGTACATTTTGCCGTCACCTGCGTCTGTCGTCACCGTCGCCATGCACTTTCAGCGTAAACACGATAAGTGGAAGACAGTTTTACCTTTTGGCTTTATATTTACAGAGCTGATGAATATTTATAAAACGCAGGTCAAGTTCGAAAATCAGCATGACCAGCCATTATTTTAGCAGTTATGCTGTTTTTTCACTCTTCAGCATATATACAACACTGTAAACACATTTCAAGGAAAACCAATAGGCTTACTGATATGAAACTCACAGGAGTGCTTAATCTTACTAAAATACAGGTCAAGTTTGAAAATAAGCTTGATTGGTTGTTTTGATGCAGTTATGCCTTGTTTTGTTTTTACCTCAGATTCAATTATTAGGCATGTTTACAGTCTCATTATTGAACTAATTAGATATGTATAACTGTTCTTTTGACAAATTTTTCATCTTTACAATATTGTTAGTTGAATACATAAAAATGGTGTTAAACCTGTATTAATCTATTGTGTAATTAAGTGTCAAAAATGGAAAAAAAAGCAAATCATTGCAGTTTGTCAGATTTAATCATTTACTATGTTCAGAATCTCAGAATGGAGCAAATTGAACATTTAACATTGTTCTATTGATATTTTCTACATCTCAACAATTTTCTTAGTTGATCATTATAAAAGTACAGTAAATTAATTGTTTTATGTAAAAAAAAGGTGTTAAAAAGGAAATAAACCCATTTCAGTCGAGTTCTCTCTTATTTACATTTTTGGCATTTTCAAGGTGTGACTTTGAAGTTCTGTGGGCCTGACCACCCTTGCCACTCACATTTTCTGATAATCCATGCTACATATATTTTATCTTTAAAAATTGGTAGTCATTATGCTGTTTAGCATTACATAATATTGCATCAAAATTAAATAAGCCCTATTTTAAGCACTGCCACCATATTACATTTGAGAAAAACCATGTCACTTACTGTTCTCAAACTTTCAAGAAAGAAACATGGGCCAAAGATACAACTTCAATTGGCAATGCAGTCTGTTTGGTTAATTTTCCTGTAAGTTGCACAGTTTTTTTATGAACATACAACATGCCACTTTCAAGATGTGCCTTTGAACCTCCATGGGCTTGAAAACCTTTGCCAGTCACATTTGCTGAATATCCATGCCACTAATATTTTATTATTATAAATTGATAGTCATTATGCTGTTAAGCATTATGTAGAATTGCATCTAAATTGAAGAAAACCCAATTTTGGGCGCTGCTGCCATCATATCCCTTATAAAAAACAATGTTACTTATGATTGTCAAACTAACCAAAAAAAGAAAAAGGTCTAAAATGTAGCCCGAAAAGCAGTCTAATTGACTTCTTTGGCTGCAACTTATACATTTTAGTGAAACATTCTTTTTTATCGTATTGGCATATTCAGTGTGGAACTCAGAACTCCCATGGGCATAAAGCTGAATGGTAATAAAAATTTCTACATGTCCATGTTATTTAAAGTCAATAATGAAAATTGCTCATAATTATTCTGTAATTTATTATGTAATTTTACATCAAAATTGACACAAATCTTCTCTGTGCACTGCTACTGCAATCGTTATGAAAAGAAAACTGTTACTTATTATTTTAAACTTACAAGAATAATTTTAGGCTTGCTACCTTTTGACTTAAAACTTCAGAACAGATGAATATTCATAATACGCAGGTCAAGTTTGAAAATCAGCATGATCGGACCATTTTTATGGAAGTTACGCTGTTTTTTCACTTTTTTCAGCATACAGTATATGCAACACCAATAACACAATAAGTGAAAAACAATTTAACCTTTTGGCTTGAAACTTACAATACTGATGAATATTTATAATATGCAGGTCAAGTTCAAAAGTCAGCATGATGGGGCCATTTTTTCCCTTTGTTCAGTATATATATGCAACACCGATAACACATTTCAAGGAAAATCGTTAGCTATAGGCCAATTGTCGTGAAATTCACAGGGGTGATCAGTCTTACTGAAATACAGATTAAGTTCGAAAATAAGCTTGATCAGTTAAGTTTTGGTGAAGTTATGTCTTTTTTTTTTTTTTTTTTTTTTGTAAATGTTTCTTCCTCAGATTTATTTCTTAGGCATGTTAACAGTCACATTTTTGAACTAATTAGATATGTAAAGGTGTTGTTTTGACATTTTCTGCATCTTAACAATATTGTTAGTTGATTATATAAAGATGATGGTAAACCTGTCGTTGTGTATTGTGTAATAAAGTGTCAAAAATGGAAATAAACTCATATCTTTACTGTTTTTCAGATTCAATCATTCACTATGTTAAGAATCTCAGAATGGAGCAAATTGGACTTTAAACATTATGTAATATTATTTTATGCACTGTCTTTCAAATTTTGGGATTTTCATTATGTTAATTTGAACTCTCATGGTCCTGAAACTATAATCTTATTGCAGGGGCGGATTGAGACCATCTTCTGGGTCTTCCAGATGACCGTCAGATTTTAAAGTTTACACTGACGGGTATCTATCTTTTTCTGTTGGAAGACCATCAAAAATGGAGGATGGATCAACAAAGATAATTTGGCATATTGTCAGAAAATATTTCTGGATCTGCTCCTGTTATTGACCATGTTACCTGTTGTGCATGATAAGAATTCAGTGTTGATTGACTGTGCTATTATAAGCATTATTTATTATTGCATCAAAATTGACAAAATGACCTATTTTCTGCATTTTTATTTTCTGTTTTTGTCTGTACATTTGACAGCTTTGCTGCCTTGTTTTAACATAATATATGAGGTTACTGTGTATAAGGTATTGGTCTCATGAATTTTATATTTTTGAGGGGGTTGATGGTTGTGGTTATTAATTTATATATAACTGTGAATTTTATTAACTAAATGTAGAAAGCCATGTTAATAATTTACAGTTTTTGGTCAGATGTTGCCATGTTTTCTCTCTCCTAGGCTTGTTAAAATCCTGTGTATTCTGATTTTTTTTGTGTAAGAGGTATTTAGAGGGGATGGCAAAGTAGATTAACAGTTTTCAGTTTTGCTTGGTAGATGCTTGTATTCTGCTTTGTTTTTAATCGTGGATAAGGTAGAATTGTGGACAAGGAAAATTGTGGACAAGGAAAATTCCATGAGTGTTTTTTTTATTTGAAAATTATTCCTAATGCATCTGCATTGATAACACACAGGTGATTTACTAACAAAATTAATACTTTTAATTTCATAAGTGTTTTGTATCTTTACATTAACTGCATAAGAAGACACTGAATGTTTTCCTGGCTGGTTACCCATTACCTTTTCAGCAGTTTTTCCAATTTGACATTTGTAGGTTGTTATCCCTGCACTTTTGAGAAAAAGTCAGGGATCATGTTATCCCGCCATCAGCAAATACATGCGTCTGTACGTTAGTAATTTCCGCCATCTCCTCCTAGACCATAAGCATTAGGAAATGGAAACTTCAAGGATTAATAGATGCACGGGCACTTGGGAATTGTGGTACAAGGGGTTTGGCTGTTCCTGAGGGGTAGTTGATTTTTAATTTTTTTTTTCACATTGTAATTTTTGCTAACTCCTCCTAGACTATTAGGTCAAGGAAGTTAAAATTTTGGTGATTGAGAGACCTAGCATCAGGGATGTGTACTTCACCATTTTAGTACAACTAGAGATTGGGCTGTCCCTGGGTGGGGGTTGATTTTTAATTGTTTTCACCTTGTAATTTTTGCTTACTCCTCCCAGACCATTATAATGAGGAAGTTAAAACTTTTTTGGGAGTGATTAGACCCATCATCAGGGATGTGGATGGGCCAAGCGTAATTTATGTCCTTGTGCAGGTTGGGCTGTTCTTGGGTGGTTGGTGGATGGTTCTCTTTTACATTAAGCATTTTCCATCATACTTTTTGATATTGCTATTATAAATATAATTTGCATCAGTTTTACATATGGGGCCCAGACTTTGTCATACATGTAGATACCAAGGGAATGGGGGCCCTGAGGGTGAGCTACTCTTTATTACATGGGGAAGTGTGGGGATATGTGATGACTATCCATCAACACCATCTAGTTTTAGAATTGCTATTGATGTTGCCAGGTTGTATTTTTATTGTATACCAAATTGTTGTCATAATTGATTGTCTCAGTGTAGATTTACTGTATTTTATAAAATATTTGTTTAAAACCAACAACTCGGTATTTATATTTATCTTAGTTCTATTTACCCCACATAGCATAATTGTTTACGGCATTTGCTTGAAAAAGAAGTTTTCATTTCAGATATTTGAAATGCCCCTTCTTTCCAATAAATAATTGTGTAAATGTAAAAGTATGTATGTCTACCCTTTACCCTTATTTTAAAAAATTAGAATCATGACTTAATCATAATGTTCTAATTATTTCACTGGTAATATTTCAGGAGCTGCTGTACATGTTTGGAAGCAGTTAGCCTTCTTCTCTGATAAGACTAATTCACTGAGCAGATTGTCTCTGATTGACAATTCTGTGGATGTCATATATACCAGTTCTGCCAGGCTAAGCAGTGTTACAGTTGATTGGCTAAACGATCAGCTGTGCTTTGTTGAAGGACAAAATGTACGTACATTTAATTGAAAGTAGTGATTTGTTGGTTGTAATTTTTGGAATTTAATGGTTGTAATGAACCTTTTTACACATATAAAATATGTGTAAAAAATTTGAAATTTTAGAATGCTTAATGCAAGTGTGGGCCCAAAATAGGACATTACATTATCAACTTATTTAATGGGTAATGCAATCCAAAGATTCCACAGTTTTTGTCAGATTTACGAAAGGCTGCACAAAGAAAAACCCAAGTCCACATAATGACCAATTAAAGGGCGCTTGGTAACTAAGTTTACAACTCTTAACTCTCCAAAATCACACCCATCTAAAGCTGCTCTCTTCCAATCTCCTCCCAGGTATAAATTCCGAAAGCTTATATTCCAGTTTCTTATCTTTCCTGGATCCACACTATTGCATGGTGCTTAAAAATGTTAATTACTTAAAATTGCAGAGTTAATTGCTTTACATCGGTGTTGTACAAAGGAGCTGCCACATTACTCAAGAACTCTTGGGCGACAACACGTTACATTATATGACCTCATAAAATATCTTTTTGATCTTTTTGTCGGACACGACATGGTACATAATAACTTCTTGCAGTTGTTTCCCCAAGTATAAAGATACTTTCTGATATTCTGAGAAAGTGCAACAAACCCATGTTTTTGCTTTAAGCCCAGTTTTTTTGTTCATTGCAAATGACAAGACTTACCAATTAATAAAAAAAAACAACAGGAGATTGAATTAACGTGCAGTGTAATGATTAATTGAAATAAAATTCCCTGAATTGTCGTAGGTTGACTTGTTCCATCAAATAATAAAGAACAGATTGAGTGAAAGATAAGCAAAAAGTTACCAATGAACAATGCCCATATTATAAATATATCACTTTATCAACTTGAAAAACCCTAAAAAACACAAAGCACAAGATGATACATGAGTAAATGCCATGCTTCATATCACTTTAACAATAAAGGACTCCTTGAGCAAAACTAATTAAAAGATAAAATGTGAAAAGAAAAGACTTGAAAAATGCCACTCCACATAGGGACTATCTAACATTCATTTCCTGAAAAAAGCCACTCCGCAATGGTGTTTTTCTAACACTCATTTCCCAAACAGGAATTTTTTAATGTGGATGAGTTAAGATCTCTCTCTCTCTTTCTCTCTCTCTCTCTCTTACTTACTCTCTCTCTCAGTGCATTTGACATTTTGGCTCTGTTTAAATTGTGTTGCAAGGCTGTCGGTGAATATTGACTTTTGTCATGTTAGAGGGTACAGATTCAATACTTTACTGATTCACCACTATAAAATAGGCTATGAATACAATGCTTAAATGCTCATATGTTGTGATATTTCCAGCTAGCCAATATAAGTTGTTTTTGTTGTAAACCATCAGAAACACTCTTAATGGTTAGTGCCATTCAAGACAAACAAAGTGAACAGTTACAAATAAAGGAATTTAACTGGTATATGATGGTCCAATTAAAGGGCTCATTCCCAAATAAACTATCACTCTATGTAGATCAAACTCCACAGGAACTCCCACTGAATGCAATCAGATTAACAGATTATCACGCATATTTATATTTCCAACGTACTTGTATGATCACGAGGTCTTCTGAATTCTACACAACGCCAAGAGGTGGTGTGTTAATCTGATTTAGTTATTACATGTATTATTTGTCATCAGATTCCCACATTGTTACATTTAATAAAGAATGCATTGAGCTAAAACAATTTAAAAAGACGTGTTAGGTATGACACACAGATCACGTCCATTCTAGACATCATCTTAAATGTTTGTCAAGATATTTGACATCAGTGAACAGACTGTACCTCTGTATCCAGTGAATGTAAAAATACATTTGCTGAACTATAAAAATTCTTATGAGTAGAAGAATGGCTACTTAATTAAGAATGTTCATTAAATTTTCTTTCACAGTCAAGGGTTGTGATAATTTTTTTTTCATTTGTAGATAAGTTGCTGTTCTCTGGAAGGCAGCCATTGTAAACCAGTTGTGACAGGCTTGATCTTGACACCTACCAGCATATACTTGGACCCTTACCATGATAAAGGGTAGGTTTCATAACTCTTTCTCAAAAAATAAGATTTCTCACTTAAATCAGTTTTAGAGCAATCTGAATTGCGAGAGAGTTACAACTGAAAAGGCAAATTAAAGAAGCAGTAGTTGATGTAAACTTTTCTAAGAGATCTGTCACATCATGTTTTTATTTTGTTTAAGAAAACTGGCATGGCAATTTGTCACTCTTCTGAGTGAATGATACCTTGGGTAACATGGGTTTCTCAGAGGAAAAAAACACCATTTCACCTTTTAAGCAGGGCAACGATAGTAAAATGACACATAATATGCATGTTAGGTATAAGTATTACTTAAGAAACTTGTTAAAAAATACTGTTATTATTTTTTAGATATTTGTACTGGACCCAAGGTGGCATGACTGAAGCAAGTGGCATGTACAGAGTTACTTTGACTGAAATCTCAACAGGACCTATACAGCCAACCCTATCACAGCATCTCATTCTACAGCAACACAATCTCTCCACCATGACAGTAGATCTACAGAACTTTTTCTTATACTATCCAAATAACTTTCAGTCATCTTTGATGAAGGCTAATTTAGATGGCACAGACAGTGTAGTTGTAAGGAAGGATGTTTCAATGAGTGTTCAGAATTTAATTTACTTCAGTGGAACCTTTTATATGAGTGATCAAGTTGAAATTAATTTTGAGGAATATGACAGCTCAAGAGACGAGTACTTTTACAATGAGGTTTATAGAATGTGGGATGAACCTGTGACCGGAATGAGTGTGTTACATACTCTAGTACAGCCTGTGCCAGGTAAATCTCATATTTCAATAATTCATTAAGTGGTTATCTTAGTTTTTTTATAAATTATGAATGATGAATATCTGTTTGTTGTCCTCTATTTATCTTTTTGGTAGGATTTTAAAAGACACCAGTGTTTATACTAAAAACTGTTGAATTCAAGAGGTCAGTCTACCTTGTGATATGCATTTTTGTGGGATAGTTGACATTCATTAACATTAGACATTTTCATGTTACCTTTAACTTATTAAGTACATTTTACACAGCTTACATTTTATCCTGCTTCAGTTCCTTCTCACTGGCCTACTCAGCTACAGGTGATCTTTTCTAGTGTGACTGGAGTAATCACATGGAGGCTGCCAAGCAGAGGGTTTGGATCAGGTGAATTGACTATCCCACTTCCTCCTTCATACCTTCAAACACTCTCTAATCTGTCTTTTAACTTGTCTGATTTGAAATTGAAAAGGTTATTGACCTGTTTTATCATTAAATATTTCTTACATTGCTGCAATTTGAAACAGTATATCTGTACATCATTTTTTCCTTTTTAAATGTGAAAAAGTGTCCACATGTCTGCTATGTAATTACTCTGAGATTTCAAATGTTATACATATTTCAGTATTCAATATTTTATAGGTTCATAATTTTTAACATTAGGAAAAAAAACAATATATTGCTAATAAAACATTTTGAGGTATAATTTTGATACAATTCTAATTCTTATTTCTAACTGCAGATTCCATGTCACATCACCTGTGGTTCACCTTAATGGTCTCTGAGAGCAGGACAGGGCAGATCTGGAAGTTTGATAGGATACAGAATTTTAGCTATACTATGGAGAATCTCCAGCCAAATGCTACATATTCAGTCAAAATCCGTGCCAGTTCAGATGGTGGAAACGGACCATGGTCACCCACTTTTATTGGCAAGACACTGTTTGAGGGTAGGTGAAATGGAGGTTATCAATTTTCCCATCAGCACATATGTACCATATGTTTTGCAAACTATAATTGTTCATATTTGCCAACTCCTTTGAGAGTATATTTTGTAAGGTTGAATAGCACCTTTTATATTTCACTTAAGGAGGCTCTCTCATATTAGCTTGAGTACTTTTTCATGACAGTGACTATTGATCAAATACATCATGCAATAAAATATGTAATTCATCCTTTAATGAAATCTTTGTTTGATTGAAGTGTTAGGCATATTAAAAAAAAACCTTTTTAGCGAAGAACGCTGGGTGATGCTTGGACTTTTATGACGTAATGTGCCCACTTGTTTACAAACTCTGTGATGTTTTTTGGGACGCTACCTCTCGAAAAAGAACTGGATTACCCCCAATTTTTTTCATATACTTAACTCATATAATTAATAAATTTTGTTTTACAATTTTTATCAAAATCGCTGGGGAAGAAATGGTGTTTTGTAATATGAGAGAGCCTCCTAAAGTTAATTCTTGCATCTGGTGTTACATAATTTTGTTTCATCCTAGGTTTAAATGCTGCCAAGATAGCAATTGCCAATCCATCTGGTCTTTACCTTACTAATGCCATAGGGAGAAACTTGCAGTGGATCATCAATACAACAGAAATGGAAGGCACAATAACAGGTTAGAGTGTGATGTTAATTTGATATGTAGAGTACAGTGGATAGACAATTCAATTATGTGTTCAAATAGGTTTCTCTAACAGGTCACAAGTTGGTGTGAAAGAGGAAATTGTCTGAAAGTGGTTTCACTATTGATACTTCCAAGGCATTGTTATTTTAATCAAGTTACAAACACCTTAGGAATTTTAACTGAGTGAAACCGTGGAAAAACATTAACCTACCCTTTGTATTAGAATGAACAGATTTGGCCTTCAATGACATGATATCAGGCTGAAACTTGGAAGTTGAATAGTTTAGTTGTAGCAAAATTTGCAAGCAATATTTTGAGTATTATTTTTCCAAGGGGCATACAAACCGAGGGGAGAGTGCTATCATAGTTGTTGAGATGATATAAGAATGGTGTCTAAATTGTTTATCTTAAATAATCATCACCATTGGATGTGTATATTACATGGTGACCCCCCCCCCCCCCAAAAAAAAAAAAATTAAATCCTACAAAAGTCAGTCAACTTTCAAGAAATTCACAGTATGTGTATTGTCATTCCCCAAAGTTTCAGTTATGTTGGTTGCTTTGCATAAATGTTATGTTCTTTTTAAAAATATGATCTAAATGGCTCCCGAGGCATTGGATGCACACTTGTATACGTCGCGAAAAAATTGTCAATTTCTCGAACACATTCCTCCTTTGGGATTTCCCTGATTTTTGCAGTGATTGATGTTGTGAAAGTGCTTTTTTGTATCATTTCCAACTAAAACCTCTTTGTATGCCCGTTTAAAACAAAACCTATTTTTTGGCATGATTTATAAGTAAATACTTTTTTAACATTTATTTTAAAATTATTTTAGGCAGTCATGTATATGAATGTTTATGAAAACTGAAATCATGGTTGTATGTTTTGAATCTTCAAATTGTTTTGTATGGCACAGATATATCTTGTTGGGGTGAGCACTATATCCTTAGCTGGAGCACCAAAAAGGCATCTCTGTACAACACCAGTACCAGTACTTTATTAGAGCTAGGCCACGTTAAACTACCTACTGCCATTGCTGTGGACTGGATTGGAGAGAAGCTATACTGGAGCAGCTTGAACAGTGTGGTGAGTTTTGCAAAAAGATGTAAATGTCAATGTTAATCAGTGATATGGTGGATTTTAAAAGTATTTTTATTGAAGTGATGAGCATCCATTTTCTATTGATGTTTTATAAATGCTCTTTTCAGTTTCTGAACTTGTAAGTTAAATTTTTAGCGTTTATATTTGTTTTATAGATTTATAGGTCTAACTTAAATGGCAGTTACATAGAGTCTGTGTACCAGTTGCAGTCACCAGTAAGAGACCTTGCCATAGACTCCGCTGGTGGATTTATGTATTGGAACACTCATCACACTGTGGAATGCAGCAGACTGAATGGAGATGAACATTTTTACTATGTTAAATACTCATATTTAGCCATTCCTCAGGCCCTTGGCTTAACATTAGATTTGGATAAGAGACTTGTGTATTGGTTAGTAGTTGATATGACAAAGTCGTGTCTGTACTCTGCCAGTATGGCAAGTGGAAGATTGGGAGAGAATCCTGCCTCAACAGTCAGCGTGGTCTCAAAAATTGAAGATTTTTCTAGGTTTGTTGCAATACTATTTGTCATTTGCAGGGCTATCAGTGCTGTCTGATTTCTTTGTTACAATATTATAGCTGATCTCATAGATTAAATTGACATTTATTTTGCCAAATTAGTTTCAAAGCAGAAAATGGTTCTTTGCATTTAAGCAATTAATCTTTTTTTTCTTGGGGCAACAAGTTCCAGCAGTATTAGAATATGTTATCCAAAGTAAACCAATCTAATGACATTGTGCAGTATTTTGGATATTTACCTTAGTTGTTTTCCATTTGACAGGTTACCAGTATTGCATTATTTCCAAGGGCACATTTATTTCTTGGATGACCATAGTACATTGACTGTTGGCAGTGAAAAAGGAGATCATTTGGCTAAAATGCTGCTTCCCTTGCAGAATGTGTCTGCCATAAAAATCATGCATCCTTCACTAGGACGTACAGGTATGATACTAATGCCCTTTGTTTAACAATAAATATTATCAGCAACACCCCAGTTACCTTTATGTTCTTTCCCCAGTTACCTTTAGATATATAGATAACTTCTCTTATGATCAGAATAATCTGTTTAAATGTATAACTTACATAACAATATACTGGAATGTATCCTTTGTTTATTTGAAATGAAGAATGTTAAAAATTAATAGTACTGTTCTTTGAAACTGTGTCAATCTTTTGTCAATTATTTTATCTGCTAAGTTACATTCTATGTGTATCACTGTTGGTTTTCTTTTTCAGGTTTTGTCCAAAAATCTACTGATCTTGTGGAGATAAATGTGCTTCCTGCAGTGATACCAAAGTCTTCAATTTACCTGCAAGGCAATTGGACAGAATTTGAAGTGATTTGGACTCCAGACCAGCAGCTGAACTATGGGAGCTTGTTCTATGAGGTTGCATTGTATTACCCTAATTTCCAAGATGCACAGGTAAGTTTAGCTCATTAAAGGTTAAATATATGTCTGATGTTTTGTGGTTGAGAAGTGTCATTGTTGGATTCACTTTTTACTGCTCTCAGGAATGTGCATTTGTGCATTTAATAGTCTTTTTTTTTAAAAAGTTCAATCTATTTTTTGTGATACACATATTTTTCAGTTGACATAATAGGTTTATGAAATACCAGATGTAGTCACTAAAGTGTTTTCATTAACTTTTTTACAAACCATTTTGTCTAGGTATAAATGTATATTTTTTTCTTAGATCGTGTCAGAATCATCTTTGATGATAAGAAGTATTCCTCCATACACCAGTCTCAATGTGACAGTGAGGCCGTACACATACTGGCACACTGGACTGCCCACTTCTGTCACACTGCGGACTCCTATGGGAGGTTAGAGTCAGATTTTATATTCTGTTCTATTTTTCTTTGTTTATTTTTTTTTCTCTTCTTTTTTGTTTCAACCAACAAAATACTAGAACATAATTATTATACTTTACATTCATATAATGGAACGGAAGTAAATATATGAGAATTAAAAAATAGATTTTTTTTCTATGATTTATTTTTGCACTAAACTTTATATGCATAATTCTGAATGTTGGATGATATTTTTCATTGAGTAAATATTCATTTCAGTTCCAGGTGAACCATCTCATGCAAATGCTTTTGTTTCCCACAAGAGGAATGTTTTTGGAAAAGTTATACTTATTGCTGTTGAATTCCATTGGAGAAAACCAGAAAGAGAAAATGGTGTCCTCATTGCTTATCATTTGACCTATATTATTGGTACTGGTGAAAAGATCCAGCTACAGCTTCCAGGACATGTCACTTTGTTCAAACTGAATGGAACCAGAAATGAAGCATATTCTTTCCAGGTAGGGTTGGTGGATATATCTGTCAAAATTATTTAGTAATTATAACCTGTCTGAAGTATCGTAATGTAAATTGACTTTTATGCCATGTTTTTAAGTCTTATGTCTTTTATTGTGACTGCCATGAAAGGTTCAGTCTGGTTCCTGACATCTTCCAGGGTGATATGATTAAATTGTATCTTTTACACCCCTTACGAATCAAAACCTAAGCCTCCACCTGTAAATGATAATCTACTTTGTAATGTAATTCTTTTGTTGAAAGGATCAGAGTAGATGATGTGTGTTTGAATATTTTGTCATGGTAACTTCATTGGAATGTGTACTTTGTGCTTTTAGGTTCAAGCATGCACTTATGTTGGTTGTGGAAAATATTCAGATCAAGTTGTTGTTAACTCCAGCAGTAAGTTGTTCTGATCAGATGTTGTTATTATGTCAATTCCTCATGTAAATCTTACTTGCTCATAATTTATATGTTCCTCGATCAGCACCTTCATATCATATATATTGGTTTACTAATAAAACCATATATGCTTGATTCATTGTAAAAATCAGATTAAAAGATCTTATAAGATGTGAGTTAACATTTAGAATAAATGTGGACCTTCTGAATCACTTGGGAATGTAATGTTCAAAATATCCCCACCAAAGTGTAAGTGAAGAATCTTTTGATTTCCATTACAGTTGAGGTGCCTCCTCCTAAATTGCTTCTACAGACAGCATCATCCATCCGTGTATTTGATGCTGACAGGGGTAGAGTAGATACCACAGTGACCAGAGGAACTAATGTGGTCGTCTCTACATACATAGCTCATGATGGCAGCTTCTTTTGGGTAGATGCCTTAAAGTTGTTCCGGAAGAACACTGAAATGGACTTACAGAAACAGGTTGGAAATTTGATTAACTTTGTGAGTGTAACCTAATTCTCATTGAATCTTGGCATAATCTGTTACAAAAATGGATTCAATGTGTCCTATAAAATTATATCACACAACTAAGTAAACCCATAGATTTGAACCTGCCTGTTACTGCTATATCTCAGGCCCCATTCACAACCAAAGTTGATCTGCAGACTAACAGTTCCATTGATCAAATATGGCCAACTCACTTTAAAGCTTGCTGAGTATTCTCCTCAGGGAATCTATTTAGTGTCTATTAGGGGATTATGCAGCTAGCTTTGAAGTGGGTTGGCCATATTTGATCAGAGGCTCCGATGGTCCATAGATCAACTGGTTGTAAATGCGCCCTTAGAAATATCATTCTTTTGCTACATACACAAAGGACCTTGAATCAACCACATTTGGAATTGTTTCTAGGTTCTTCACACTCTTGTAAACCCTCCTCAGACCTTGACAGCAGACTGGGTAGCCAGGATATTGTATTGGGCTGACTATGATGACCAGAGTGGGAGAAGCAGTGTATGGTCATTTGATCTAAATAGGCAAGACCAAGCAAGAGTACAGATGTTGTATCAGACTAATCAGAACATTAAAGTTCAACAGTTGCTTACAAACCCATTGCAAAGGTGAATTAATTATTATGTAATTTAAATATCCTAATTTCTTTCTTTCTTCATTTTTTAAAACAAAGTTGCCTATCTACTAAACTGTTTTCCCTATGTATTTCTAATTATAGACTATCTTTGTTTTAGGTGTTATTCTGTTGTGATAATCATTTGATAATTTAAACATTGGCAAACCTGTAAATGCTGTTTTAGCTGTATTTCTTGTCTTTATGAACATATTTTATCTGTTTTCTGTTCTGTTGTCCTTAAGCTTTAATGCAATTTTAACTGTTTTAATAGCAAACTGTCTTGGCTTGAGTTGTACAACAGTGGAATGAACAGGGTAGTAGAGATGGACCTGAAAAGTAATGAAATCACTCAGATTTTACCTCCAATATATGGCAACCACTATGGTCGCAGGAGGAAGAGGGACACAAACTGTAACTGCCCCATGGAAGCAACAGTGGGACCAGCTGTAGCCATGTTGGTTAGTGAGAATGGACAACAAGAATACTATTGGGTAGATACCTCACTAGGGCAACTGTTGAAGTCTGACTCCACAGGATGCATGTGTCAGTTGATAGCAAATTCTTCTGTGATGGCCTCTTTAGGTAAATTACATGTTGAATATAATGTCACTCAAGTGTGCATTATATCTCATGCATTGGATAAAAGCTATGGGATACATTCTCTTTGAAATAAAAAAGATCATTCAAAAGCCTGGAATACCAACTGAAAATATATTACCAAAAGGAAAGAGGTTATTATGTAATCATCATATATCTTTCTGGAGCAATGAAATGAGCTTGTCTAATGATAAAAGTGGATTTACGAAATGAAGAAAACTAGATAGATGTTTTTTCCAGGTTTCACCCCTAGTTCATTGAGCATTGACAGAGAATTCCTTTATCTTCTCAACGAGACTGAAGAAAGGTTGTATTTATTGCCTAGAGTTGCCGGATTATCTGTGCAGGCACTAGATGTTGCAGGGACAAAAAACCTTGTGGCGTTTGGTGAACATCTACAGCCAATGCCAGGTAAGGAAAATTATAGCAACAAGGAATTCAGCTGGACATCTTCACGCATTTATTCAAAACCTCGTGTTTCTAAAAGCTCCTGAAATTTAAAGTGGGCAAACTAATTGATTTAATTGGACATGAATAAAATTCAACATGGATGGTTTATAACTTGCATTATTTGAATGTTTGTTCAAATTTAGATTCATCATGTCTGCTGATAACCAACTACACGGAGACCCCTGTCAAACTGTCAGTTCAGAGTAGCAGTATTGCACTTCAAATACCTCCTGTGAGGTTCCCAGTCAAATGTGACTCTGTTAACCTTCCCACAGTGCAGTACCAAGTGTATTATGGGAAAGAAAATGGCAGTGATGCAAAAAAGGTACAGTTTACTATAAAAAGATTTATTCAGAATAAGTAGTCCTTGCAAATATAGATAATAATTTCATAATTTCCTTAATTTGTAGAGTAGATATGTGTTTATCAACACCGTAATGAACACTATTCTTATTTTGGAAATTAATAATTACATTGGTCATTGTTGAGTTTTATCAGATATCGCATCATCAGATAAAATTTTATCCCATGCTAATAATACTGCAATGAGCTATTTTCCATTAAATCATTAAAAATCAGATGTTTTGACCTAAAATTATTAGGTTGTTTACGGCCAAGAGGTAACAATATCAGGATTGGAGCCTTATACAAATTATACATTCCAAGTAGCTGCCAGCAATTATTACTCTGCACCTGAACCAGATCCAGGCCCCCTTGTGGTGTTCAAAACTAGTGCTGGAAGTGAGTTTATTAACATACACACATAAACTCATTTCATTTCATCAAATATATGTGGGACAGTTTTTTTTTAAATGGAATTCTATTTTATTTACATAGCTTCTTCTAAAGAAAATAGAACGTGTACATTTATTGTTTGGCAATTTTTAGGAATGAATTGTTTGAAGTAGTGAAAGACTGTTTTTGGCATATTGAAGCAGCATATTCAGTGAAAACAGTTTAATATTACCATGCATCAGTCTTAATGATGTTTTAAGTGTCCATTTTTCTCATTATCAGCACCATCAGAGCCAGTCAACGTCAAGTCAGAAACTCTAACACCGAAAGAAATTTCGGTAAGCTGGGAGCCTCCATTGAATCCCCATGGGCCACCTGAAGACATAACTTATTCTGTGATGTGGAGAAGTTTAGACTACACAGGGAGAGTAGTGTCAGGACAAACTCCCCGGGGGCCTTACATTGGCCATAAAGCCGAAATTGAAAACTTAACTGCTGCTGTTACTTACAGCTTTCAGGTAAAATGTGCTAAGCTGTGAATTGACCTATCACTGTAATATTTTGAAAACATGAGCAATAAAATGTCATTCCAGCAATGATCAAAGCAAATGTGGTAAATAATTAACTTAAAAGGATGATTGTTTTCTAGGATGAGGATTCTTTGGTAACATTTGATTTTTTGTGGTTAAACTGAGTTACAAACAAATGATATACAAAATGACATACAATTTAATTTGAATATTTTTATAACCTAAACAGTCATATTTAAATGTAAATTTTGAGTCATCTAATTGTGATGTTTAAAGGCAAAATTATTAACTCTAATACTAGACACTGACGTAGAGAATTCAATGTTTCATCCTCATCCCAAAGACATCTTCGGGGAACTGTCACTACAGGTGACACTGCTGGTATTGCAGTTATCACATGACAGTCGGCACGGAACCACCCCCAGGGCCCGGTCCCACACATGATGTAGCTGAAAACGCAGACCCTCCACTCCAGTTTAATGTAGGTTTCTAAATCCTTTCATGTAAGGCCTCCTTGACACCTCTCTGGAACCAGTCCTCTTCCTTGTTCAACACTATAAGCGATTCCATGCCGACTGTCATGTGATAACTGCAATACCACCAGCAGTGTCACCTCTAGTGACAGTTCTCTGAAAATGTCCTTGGGATGAGGATGAAATATCGGAATCTCTATGTCAGTGTCCCGTATTAGAGTTAATAATTTTACCTCTAAACAGTCATAATGAAATCTAAATGTTCATTTTAATTTTTGTCAATTTAGGTACTGGCTTATGACCAAGCTGGTGAATACTACAGCATAAGTAAGGAAATCATCAACACCACCTTTGAGTACCCAGGGAGACTGAAATTTGAGAACAGCACCAGTGACACCATCACCATTTCCTGGATGTCACCACAAGATGGCAGTGTGCTCAGACACAGATTTCGGCTTGCAGAGGTAAGAATTTATTTTCGACTTCATCTGGAGAAAGTGAACCACATTTTATTGTATATATATATATATATATATATATATATATATATATATATATATATATATATATATGTTTTATAGTTTCTGACTTGCTCTTTTTAACTATCATGATGTGTTTGATAATGTTTCAGGTGACTTAATCTTTTTTATACTGACATACTCTGCTGTTAAGAAGCATATTTGTAATATTATTATAACTGCTTCAGAGTTGAAATTCTGTGAAGAATGTGATATTTTTATTAGATGAATTTAGCCCACCACAAAAATTTAAATTTTGAACAACAGAAAATTGTTTAATAAACTGTTTTGCCCATGTTTTAGGTGAAGACCCCATTGAAGTGGAAAGACTCTGAACATCTTGGGTTTAGAACCAAACCAAATAATTTGTATTCACAAACCTTCCAAAAATTGACCCCAAACACAGAGTATGCCTTTAGGGTTAGGACAATGCTGACTTCTCGTCACCTATTTGAGTGGCCAACAGATGCAAGCTTTACGTGCAAAACAACAGGTAAATGCACTATTGTAATGTAAGGAGCAGTAGGTTAAAATTGTACAGAATTTTGGAAACTGACATATTTTTGTTGTTTAGTTATAGCACCAAACTGTTTGCTCCCTTTGAGAGCTGCATACATTTGTTTCTGCTTGATCATGGTGTTTGATTTGGCACCTTACCTTTTAGCTATGGGGTCTGCAACTACTGCTTGAAATGATTTTCAGTCAGCTTCTATTTTTTGTCACCATATTATTATTATTATTATTATTATTATTATTATTATTATTATTATTATTATTATTATTATTGCAGCATCAGTTCCAGGAGAACCCATACCACCAAAGCTTACCACTTTAAGTTCAGGTGCATATGAAGTGTTCTGGTATCCACCTGAGGATTTTGGGTCACTGATAACACAATACAGGCTAGAGTATATGTAAGTTTTTTCTAAGGGCAATAATGCTATGCATGGGTGAAATGGTAAAGAAAAAAATGACACAACAATAGTAATAAGAGTGTGAATCTTGCCAGTTCAAAAGCTGCTATATTGATTCATTAATGTTTGGCAGAAATGATGTGTATGTAAGGTTATGATTCATAGAAAACAATTACTGTAAGTTGCTTGAGCCCTGGTGGTACACATGATTTTTGTCCTGACCCATCTTGTCTGCCAGCTCTGCCGTGCAGTCACCATAACTGCTTCCCCTCCTAGAATACAAGGACCCAACTCTTGGAATTAGATCACATACAATCTCAGGCCACCATAACTGACCTTTGACTTTATTTCAAGATGCTGAAACTGAAAAACTGTCTAATTCTGGAACTGTAAAACCTAGAGACATCTTACTTGTTGCATTTTGTTGAGCTTGTGAAGTGCAACAATGAAAGCATTTAATTGACCCGTATATCTCCAAAACTGACAGAGATACATCCATAGTTACCGTTGAACTTGAATAGAAAGTCACATATTGGCAATCTTACTTTGACCTGTGGTTTAACAATATTGCTGCTCTGATCATATAGTTTGTATTGGATGGGGCAATCGTAGTGATCTATGAAAAAAATGAAGTCATAAAATTTGTTCCTGTAAACCTCAGTTGTTTTTATGTTCATTTCAGGCCTGATGACTATACTGGCAATTGGTCTCTAGCATATAAAGGAGTAAACACTAAGTGGACAGCTCAGGGATTAGATGGTGGTCAGAAGTACATCTTCAGAGTGGCTGCTTATAATGCCATGGGTTGGGGACCTTTCAGCTCAAACAGTTCATCTTTCTTTTTGCCTGTGGGTAGGTATATAGCCCCTTAGAACACAGAATGTGTAGGACTTGTACTGAGTTTTGCTTTTTATTTTGGCAAATGTATATGCAAATAAAATGTTGATTAGTTAAAGTGTACAAATTGCATGAAATATAGTCTATTGTATCTGTACACAATCACCATTTCAATATTTTTCTGAAGTGATATATTACTTAATATTTACATCAAAATGATACCATTACAAGTATGAATTTATGTTTTGATTAAATGTTGTTCTGTAAATAAGCAGTTTGAAAAATCCTCCAATTTCAAGTATGTGGGCAATATATAATTTATAAATTATTTGATATTGAAAAAAATGATTTTAACACTTTTCAAAACTCTCTTCCCATTAGTAGCAGCTCTAACAGGTGCAGAGGACAGTAATTTGACCTCCATATTGGTTGGCTTGTTTGCTGTCATTGTTTTCCTTGTGGTCATTGCTGGAGTGGTACTCTTTCTGGGTGAGTTGAAGTTTTATTTTGTTCAATTTTCATATAGATCTATTAATGGTGGGGATTATACAGTTTTTTAGGTGAACTTTTCGAAATCTTTTGGGTAAGCTTGCAACCAGTTAGATTAATTACTTCTCAAAAACAACATATTGTAGATCTTTTATGAAAGACAACTTATTTTTCAGTTTTCAAAAAAAGGAATGAAGAGAAGAGAAATAGGTCTTCCTTTATAAACAACAACGGCTGCCATTATGATGCACCACGTACTCCTGATATAGAGCTGGCTACTCTGCGAGAGTTACCCAGGATAGCATACCACACAAATACTACATTATATGGCATGGGGTGAGTTATTGTTTGGAATTAGACCGATATCAGTTATGGTCTCCAAGTAATGTTGTCTGCATGTCTCAGCTTTCTGAAAATACATGCATTCGAATAACAATTTCAAAAACGATTTTTAGTAAAACTATATTATCTTAATTTTCCCAGCATAAACCCATCAGAGGATGAGATTGCTGCATTGCCCCACTTCCGACGCGACCAGTTGACATTAACGCAGCTTCTGGGTAGTGGAGCATTTGGTGAGGTCTATGAGGGAGAGGCCACTGATGTACTAGGACAAGCTACAGGCCCCACCAAAGTAGCAGTCAAGGTATTGTCATTATATTACTACAGTCTTGTATTTCACTTACATTTACACTTATTTTTTTTTATGAAATGTTTGAATATTGGAAATTAAATGTTAAGTTCTAACAGTGTTTGCTGCACAGGAAAACAAATACCCTCTATTCGTTCCAACCACATTCTAAAAATTGAAATTCTCCATTTCAAAAAAGTAAAACAAATATCACCAATGTTAAATCTTTTTTTTTTTATGTACAGACACAGATGTGTCTGTACATATAGCCGTCACCTGTGTCTGTCATCGCCGTTGCCGTTGCCGTCGCCATTGGCGTGCACTTTTAGGCTTCGTTCACATGCAATGTCTATTTTCTAAATTCTATTTTCTATTTGCGGTATGTCTTATGATCACGGTCTGTGGCCTGAATATCCTGCGGCGTAATTACTGGCAGCGCGAGCCAGTTACTATAAGTTACTATAAGTAACTGACTCGCGCTGCCAGTAATTACGCGGCGGGATATTCAGGGCACAGACCGTGATCATAAGATAGCGCAAATAGAAAATAGAATTTAGAAAATAGACATTGCATGTGAACGAAGCCTTNGATTGAACAGTTTTAATACAAAAAGATAGGATTAGATGAAATTTTCATCGGGGTGGGACACCGCATGTATCGTAAGTTAAGCTAATTTTGTGATCATTTTTCAGTCACTTCAAATAAATTTTTATTTAAATAACCATTTGCACATTCTGTTTATTATATCTTCTTGCAGTAGGTGTATTCCCTGCTTCAATAATTCATTCAAACCCTAAACAAACTGTTCCTAAATAGAGGTAGGGTCAAAATTCCACAAAAAAGGACGCCATTTTGGGGGTAATTTCGATATATTTTCTGCTTTTTCTCTTATTTTGCTTTTATAACAGCATCCTCCTTGCTCATGCAGCTTCTTTGATTTGTTTTTGAAACATACACAACGATGTCATGAGAATTTGGTTGGCTATTTAAATTTAAATAACATTCTTGTTATGGCCCCCCTGCAGTGCACCACTAGCAAAGAATGACTGTAATATTTACATCAAAATGATACCATTACAAGTATGAATTTATGTTTTGATTAAATGTTGTTCTGTAAATAAGCAGTTTGAAAAATCCTCCAATTTCAAGTATGTGGGCAATATGTAATTTATAAATTATTTGATATTGAAAAAAAATGATTTTAACACTTTTCAAAACTCTCTTCCCATTAGTAGCAGCTCTAACAGGTGCAGAGGACAGTAATTTGACCTCCATATTGGTTGGCTTGTTTGCTGTCATTGTTTTCCTTGTGGTCATTGCTGGAGTGGTACTCTTTCTGGGTGAGTTGAAGTTTTATTTTGTTCAATTTTCATATAGATCTATTAATGGTGGGGATTATACAGTTTTTTAGGTGAACTTTTTCGAAATCTTTTGGGTTAGCTTGCAACCAGTTAGATTAATTACTTCTCAAAAACAACATGTTGTAGATCTTTTTTGAAAGACAACTTATTTTTCAGTTTTCAAAAAAAGGAATGAAGAGAAGAGAAATAGGTCTTCCTTTATAAACAACAACGGCTGCCATTATGATGCACCACGTACTCCTGATATAGAGCTGGCTACTCTGCGAGAGTTACCCAGGATAGCATACCACACAAATACTACATTATATGGCATGGGGTGAGTTATTGTTTGGAATTAGACCGATATCAGTTATGGTCTCCAAGTAATGTTGTCTGCATGTCTCAGCTTTCTGAAAATACATGCATTCGAATAACAATTTCAAAAACGATTTTTAGTAAAACTATATTATCTTAATTTTCCCAGCATAAACCCATCAGAGGATGAGGTTGCTGCATTGCCCCACTTCCGACGCGACCAGTTGACATTAACGCAGCTTCTGGGTAGTGGAGCATTTGGTGAGGTCTATGAGGGAGAGGCCACTGATGTACTAGGACAAGCTACAGGCCCCACCAAAGTAGCAGTCAAGGTATTGTCATTATATTACTACAGTCTTGTATTTCACTTACATTTACACTTATTTTTTTTATGAAATGTTTGAATATTGGAAATTAAATGTTAAGTTCTAACAGTGTTTGCTGCACAGGAAAACAAATACCCTCTATTCGTTCCAACCACATTCTAAAAATTGAAATTCTCCATTTCAAAAAAGTAAAACAAATATCACCAATGTTTAATCTTTTTTTTTATGTACAGACACAGATGTGTCTGTACATATAGCCGTCACCTGTGTCTGTCGTCGCCGTTGCCGTCGCCATTGGCGTGCACTTTTAGGCTTCGTTCACATGCAATGTCTATTTTCTAAATTCTATTTTCTATTTGCGGTATGTCTTATGATCACGGTCTGTGGCCTGAATATCCTGCGGCGTAATTACTGGCAGCGCGAGCCAGTTACTATAAGTTACTATAAGTAACTGACTCGCGCTGCCAGTAATTACGCGGCGGGATATTCAGGGCACAGACCGTGATCATAAGATAGCGCAAATAGAAAATAGAATTTAGAAAATAGACATTGCATGTGAACGAAGCCTTACCGTAAACACGATAAGTGAAAAACAGTTTTACCTCTTGTTTTTTTTTTTGTATTTCAGACTTTAAGGAGAGGTGCCAATGATTCAGAAAAAGAAGAATTTTTGAAAGAAGCATTATTAATGAGTAACTTCAAACATAATCACATTCTGAGGCTGCTTGGAGTCTGTCTTGACAATGATCCTCAATTTATTATCCTAGAGTTGATGGATTGTGGAGACTTACTGTCCTTTTTAAGGGCAACAAGACCTTCACATGTGAGTACAACCAGATATCTTGCCATTGCTGAGTGTTTATATTGATATGATTCTTTGATATTTTGAAAGATAAATTTTCCTTATCTTTTTCTGAATGATGAAGGAAGACAGGAGTGCCACAGATGATAAAGGAAAACAGGAGTGCCACAACAAGTTCTAGTCTGAAATAATGACAATCCATAGCTGTGTTTGATAGTTGTATTTGAATTCAAGCAATTCCAACTACAATAGACATTACATATTAATTTTAATCTCCTCTCTCCCAAGAGAATTAAAATGCAAGATTTTGGTTTTAACATTATAAATGATTTGTGAATAGTTGCGTTATCTTTCGTAAAAAGTGTAACTCTGCTGTTTGTTCCATAGCTTGGACAGACTGCACTCACATTCCCTGATCTCATCTCCATCTGCTGTGATGTATCCAAAGGTTGTAGTTATCTAGAAGACTTACACTTTGTACACAGGTAGGTCCTACTGCTTTTGTCACAAACATGTACATATAATAAGAAAAAGAACTTAACATTTCAAGAAGAGATTACACATTTTCAAAAAAAAAAAAAAAAAAAGTGGGTGCAATTTTTTTCTTGGATCAAACACCTGCCCTATTCAATTTAGAAATCAGTGATGAAAAAGATCAAAAGTATCATAAAAGTATATGAAACCTGAAGACCAAAACTATTTCATGTCCATTTATTCATGTATTTTTACATATTTCATATCATGGATGAGTGCGCAGGACAAAATTTTATGAAGGTACCTCTGTCATATCAAATTTCAGAGATATAGCTGCCAGGAACTGTCTAGTATCTTGGAAGGACAACAAGATTACTGTAAAAATTGGTGACTTTGGCCTCGCTAGAGACATCTACAGAAATGACTACTACAGGAAAGAAGGAGAGGGGCTCCTCCCTGTACGCTGGATGTCCCCTGAGGCCCTGATTGATGGGGTTTTCACCACACAGTCTGATGTTTGGTAAACACATTGTGCATGGTTATGATGAATACCTCAAGTAAAAAAACTTTAAATGAAATTTTTAATATGAACATGTATTGTCCTAGAGCTGATTTAATAGTTTTACACAAAGACAGCCTTGGTCTAAGTTCAAATTCAAAATATTTGGCAAATGATAGAAATTGCTCACAAAGGCTTAAGAGAAATTTGTTTTGGACAATTAAATAAGTCTTTTGTCAATATGTCTTTTTTGCTAAATTTTTAGGTTATAAGCGTTTTTGTTACTTACAGTGGCCACCAACCTTAAATACAGCTCATATACTATTACTGACTGTGATTAAAAAACTGTGTTATGATCATTTGCCCATTTTACAGATCATTAAAAAAGCCTCAATGGCTTGCAAATTTTCTAGGGCCTATGGTGTATTGGTATGGGAAGTGTTAACACTGGGTCAACAGCCATACCCTGCCAGGACAAACCTGGAGGTACTGCAATTTGTACGTGGCGGAGGAAGGCTTGATCGCCCAGAAAACTGCCCTGATGAACTGTAAGCACAAATGGAAATGCATATTACATGCCTCATTATTCTAGTTTTTGCAGGGTTGTTAAGATTATTCTTTTTCCTCCGTGTATTCATATGTTACACAAGTGACATTTACCCAATATTCCACATAAGGCAATAGCACAAGCTTTAGTGTAGAACCATGTTGCTCCACAAGTGTCCATTATCTCAAGTTACTTGCAAAATAAAGTTATTTATTCTGTCTTTTGAAAATAATTTATATGCCATGGATAGTTCTTTAATCTTTTACTGGACTTACAATTTTAATTTTATTTTTCTATATTAAAATATAGTTTTTTTTTAAAGCTTAATTTATAATTATAATAATAGTAAATAGATTTTGAAAAACTTTATTTGTGTAAAATGCATTTGAATGGCTATTCTAAGTGGTATAATTGAAGTACATACTTTCCACTTCAGTCACGATTTGACATTGAAATGCTGGAGCTTTAATGCAAAAGATAGGCCAACATTTCACCACATTGAAGAGAGGCTTATTCACTTCATGGAGCTATCTCAAGTCCCAGACAGTGCCTTCTCTGGCACAGTTAAAGTGAGGAGACTCTCTGGAGGTAGGTATTTATGACAAATAAGTATTTTTTTACCAAAATGTAAATCCTCATGTCTGGTGTTTTAGTTTGCATTTTAGATTTCATGAGACCCTTGGCATGAAAACAGCAAACACTCAGGACCTTATAAGTAGAGGTGTGAGTAAGCATATGTACTGTGTGTAATTGTTTTCTCATGTTTCTCAGTGTATTTTTCAATTCTTTTACTTCCAATTCTACCTTCAATGGGTTATTTACATTCCTAGATGTTTTGGATGAAAGTGTGTTGAAAATGCCTTTACTAAACCTTTGGTCGGGTATCAAGTAATTGATATATGCTCCTTAGGTAATTTATGTGGATATTTGGCAAAGCAAAACAATTTACAAAAAATGTAAAGGCATTGACTGTTTAACTGTCTTGCTTATCTTAGTAGTTCTAGATCACTGTAGATGTGCATGATACCAGTATCTCATTACTAAGAACATATTTTTTGTCTACATAGTTGAAACTCCACATACCACAAATTGATATTTTTCGTGTGTTGAGGTTTAGTGTACCCCTGTATGTACAATGTTTTATATTTATTGAAAGTTTTGTAATTTATCTATAACTTTTAGTGCAGGTCAGAAGGGGCTATATATTGGATTTTGGCACATCCTATACTTTTGGCACTGGTATGAGGAACTAAATATTGGATTTTGGCACAAAAAATTAAGAACTTACCTGGCACATGCCTTTGGGGATATAGGCAGAGGTTTTCTGCAAAAGAAAATAGAATAATTTATAGAAAAAAATGTATTATTCCTTCAAGAGAGCTAGCAACATATGAAGTGAAGGTTTGGGAGATACCTACATTTTGAACTGCATGAGTTACTGATTTACCTCTGCAGTAATCTCAGTTACACACATATATGAAATAAAAATACAGAGTATTTTTGTTGCATAATGAAATGTTATGTTGCTGACTCTCACAGTAACCTAATTCTCTTAAAGCAACATGTAGCTGGGTATATAATTACCTTGGAATGTGAGCTATCATACAGTTTCTATATATAACTGATGGATGTATATCCCATGGAATTTACTAAACAATACTGGAGAAATTACAAGCAGTGGAACATATTTTATGTGCTGCAGCATCATAAACATAAAATATTTTGGCATTTATCCATTAATGTACAATTTACCCATATGATAATCAGTTCTGGGGGTTATCCAGGTTCCTCTGGGCTCAAATGTAGATTCTTCTCTTCATGCTCTTAAGATAGGGACTAAAATTTTATTCTCACTAAATAGTTTTATTTTCCCCCAAGCAGCTCACTTCCAAACTCCAGCTTCAAAATTCAACTGTCCCTCTCACTATCTGTACAATTTTAATAGCTCTTATTTAAATCTTCATATTACATAAAGAATTAATTGCCACCTTTTACTTTGAGTTCAGTGGGAGATTGGAATCAGATAAACTGTGGAACATTCTTATTTTGATAAAGTGATCTTAATTTGTCTCCTTTTCTTGTAGAATGGCCATTTATCACTACACCACGTTCTATCATTATTTGAAAGTACATCTAACACTAATATAACTTAGAAAATGTAGTTCATTGTTCATGGTAAATTTTCAGCTGCATGTGACCATTATTTGTGCATTTGTTACCACTGTTAACCCATGTTGTCTACAGGCTGCTTTGATAACCCTGCTTTTGCTGTTGATGTGGAGAATAACAATAAATACCAACAACAGCAACAACTGCCAAATACCAGTCTGTCTGTGGAGTTACCTGCAGCAGAAAGTGGCTCAAGAAATAAAAGTAAGTAAAACGATGTAAGTGTGGTCACTGCTGTTAGTATAACTAATGTATTTTTATGTACAGACACAGATGTGTCTGTACATATTGCCATCACCTGCGTCTGTCGTCGCCGATCATGTCGCCGTCGCCGTGCACTTTCAGCGTTAACACCATAAGTGGAAGACAGTTTTACTTTTTGGCTTTATATTTACAGAGCTGATGAATATTCATAAAACACAGGTCAAGTTCGAAAATCAGCATGATTGGGCCATTATTGTAGAATTTATGCTGTTTTTTCACTTTTCAGCATATATGCAACACTGTTAACACATTTCAAGGAAAACTGATAGGCCTGTTGTCATGAAACTCACAGGAGTAATCAATCTTACTAAAACGCAGATCAAGTTCGAAAATCGGCATGATCGGGCCACTATTTTAGTAGTTATGCTGTTTTTTCACTTTTCAGCATATATGCAACACTGTTAACACATTTCAAGGAAAACTGATAGGCCTGTTGTCATGAAACTCACAGGAGTAATCAATCTTACTAAAACGCAGATCAAGTTCGAAAATCGGCATGATCGGGCCACTATTTTAGTAGTTATGCTGTTTTTTCACTTTTCAGCATATATGCAACACTGTTAACACATTTCAAGGAAAACTGATAGGCCTGTTGTCATGAAACTCACAGGAGTAATCAATCTTACTAAAACGCAGATCAAGTTCGAAAATCGGCATGATCGGGCCACTATTTTAGTAGTTATGCTGTTTTTTCACTTTTCAGCATATATGCAACACTGTTAACACATTTCAAGGAAAACTGATAGGCCTGTTGTCATGAAACTCACAGGAGTAATCAATCTTACTAAAACGCAGATCAAGTTCGAAAATCGGCATGATCGGGCCACTATTTTAGTAGTTATGCTGTTTTTTCACTTTTCAGCATATATGCAACACTGTTAACACATTTCAAGGAAAACTGATAGGCCTGTTGTCATGAAACTCACAGGAGTAATCAATCTTACTAAAACGCAGATCAAGTTCGAAAATCGGCATGATCGGGCCACTATTTTAGTAGTTATGCTGTTTTTTCACTTTTCAGCATATATGCAACACTGTTAACACATTTCAAGGAAAACTGATAGGCCTGTTGTCATGAAACTCACAGGAGTAATCAATCTTACTAAAACGCAGATCAAGTTCGAAAATCGGCATGATCGGGCCACTATTTTAGTAGTTATGCTGTTTTTTCACTTTTCAGCATATATGCAACACTGTTAACACATTTCAAGGAAAACTGATAGGCCTGTTGTCATGAAACTCACAGGAGTAATCAATCTTACTAAAACGCAGATCAAGTTCGAAAATCGGCATGATCGGGCCACTATTTTAGTAGTTATGCTGTTTTTTCACTTTTCAGCATATATGCAACACTGTTAACACATTTCAAGGAAAACCCATAGG